TTGTGCACACCACGGGTGCATAAGTTGGTGATTTAAAAGCCCCACCCTGTCAATGTTTATAAATTTCAATATCGACTTCGTTCTACATGTAAATGGTTTTAAAATCATTCCTTGGTGTCCTCTGTACCCAGTATGTAACATTAAATCCTCAGAGAAATCGTAGGAAAAGGTAGTAAGTTTTGACCCCATAGCTGTTCTATGTTTCTATGCGAAGCCACGTGAAAAAGTGTTACGCTTGTACCGTACCCTGCTGCCAAGGCATGTCTGGAATTACCCAGGCACCTGTCTGGAAGGCCTTTTGTAAGAGGCCAGCCTCTTATAGGCTACACAGCCAATGCATGTGCTATGCAGAGGTCGTTTATGGGTCACAGACAGGGCCTGGGCAAACATGGCAGCCCTTGTGGAAACAATTCTCGATGTCTGCCGGCTGCAAGATGTCTGTACACATTTCTATGGGAACGGGCCAAACTCTGGCTGGAGGTCTGGCTAAGGGGAACCCCCACGTCACGGTGACTGTACATGGGTATTCAGCATGAACAGGGGTAGGGCTAGAGGAAGGAAGGTCACTGCAGTTGGCCGTAAATTTTTTTTTATCAAATAATTAGCAAAAAGTGATTCTCAAAAATCACGGCAGGCCTCTACTCAGGATAAGAATTTCTGTTGAAGTTTAATTGTGCCATTCAACTTTACTTTTTTTTGGCTTCAGGAAAGACAGATGGCTACACATCTGATATTGGTTACACATACATGTATGTATACATGTACCGCCTAAACGCATGCAGAGTGTGAGGTTGCTCACTTTCGAACTAAACCGTGATATTCATTGTTCTTTGTCGCAAGGCATTGTGGGTTATATTTGCTGTCCTTGTTCAACCGATTCAGTGCCCACACGGAAACTGTTGCCCCGGCACGCGTGGTTGTGAACTCTGTCCAATTAGCGCCCGGTAAAATTGACTACATTTGCCCTTCCCAGCGCCCTCTAAGGGTGGAGAGACAATAGCGAAACCATTTGGTGTAACTTGTAACATACATGTAAACCCGAACTGCACGAACGTAGTCTGCAATTCACCGCGTGGAGATCAGTGATCGCAAATCGGCTGGTATGGACATTGTGTTTTTTTCACTCGGAATTGGCTCTCGATCAGTGATCCCAACGCTGGTTCTCCATCCATTAAGCGGGCTCTGGTGCCAGTGAACCCGCGGCGGGCGGATCACTAATCAAGATTCGGATCCGTGTGAAACAAACAAACCATCGTTTTTAAGTGCGTAGGCCTACGGAGAAGTTAGTATTGAATAAGAATACTCTTCAGTGCTTGGACTACAACCTTTTAGCGCCAAAGGTTGTTTCACATTATTTTCAAACACATGTGACAGCACTTCAGTAACAGAAATCTAGGGCCGCTAATGAGGTGTCAAGTTAAACGGTGCTGCAGTAAAAGATCTTCGGTATACTTCGAGTGGTAGGCGGTGATTCGTTGGCGCCGGTGTAGTACTGTTTACTCAATCAACCAAGTCAGTTCCAGGGCGAGGAGGGAACACATTAGCGACAACTGCAGCAACAAAATATCCCGCCGACGAACATGAAGCTGGAGGGCATCCTACCATTGCTGGGCAACTTTGGCCGGTACCAGTTCTTGGTCTGCTTGTACTGCTGCGTGCACAACATTTTCGGTTGCTTCACAAGTCTGGGCAATGTATTTTACGCGGCCGAGACCGACCACTGGTGCGACGTCTTGCCGAAGGAGAACTGCTCGAGGTGGCCGGAGTTCTGGGACAACTGCACCGACGTGAAGAAGGCCGTTCTCCTGCCCCCAGCGGAGAGGAATGACAGCGAGTACCCCCACTCCAACTGCAAGCAGTGGGACTTGCCGGACGGCTACGCGTTTGATCCGTACGCACCGCTTGATGCCTTGAATTACTCGGAAGTGTCCTGCGAGAATGGATGGGCGTACGACACGTCGCAGTACAAAACCACGACCATTTCAGATGTGAGTCATGGCTTGAATATTCTTCTCGCTGATGTGTCTTTATTTCGATTGCTATACAAACCCGTCTAAAGATGCAGAAACCTAGTCAAATTAAAAACTGTATAACTTGAAAGGTGCTGCCAAATGCTTACTTACGACAGTGGCCTGCAATGTGCAAGTCTTGCTTTAAAAGGTAGCAGGTCTGACTTTGCGATTCTGGCAGAATGGTTTGCCTTGGAAAAATATCTTCTGGGATGTTAGAAGTCATGCAGGCCCTCTAACTTTCTTTGAAATTTGAAAGAAAGTTGACCCAAACTGTTGCGAGTCTCTCTTCAAATGTCTGGGCGTTGTCGGCGGATAAACGTGAAAATTTTGTTCATTTTTCAGCACAATCAAAAACACAACTAGAACGGGTTTTGCCTTTTTTTTTTTACAATGTCTTTCTCTATCGGTGTGCCTTGTGTGGTTGGAATGGACCTCGGCCTCCAAACTGCGTCAGTCTCATCTTGTTATGGCTGTTAATCTTTTCGAATTGTTTTTTACCTTCCCAGTTTGGTCTCGTGTGCGATTACGGAAGTACGCCCAGCCTCGCACAGTCCTTGTACTTCGGTGGTTTTCTGGTAGGGTCCTTCGCCGGAGGTGCTTTTTCGGACTGGTAATTAATGCACTAAGAAAGACGCGGCTGTGTTGGGGGGAAATCAAGCCTCGATGATTAGGAGTCAAGTCAGACGCAAACTCGGCCTGGACTCGGGCCGATGGGACCCAGATCAACCCGGACCTGGTCTGAGTTTGAGTCTGAGTTCGTCTAATTCTGAGTTGCTCTGGGTTCCGTACTTCGCTCGCTCCGGCCTTTATCTCAGAATTTATAGTGACACGCTGCAATAAAGATAACATTATGATGAGGATGGGCGTTACACCAATGTACCCTACAAATTTTAGAGAGAAAAGTCACTCGATTTGCCGAACATTTCATTTCCTCCGACAGAGATAGACGAGTAGACAAATTCGAGTGAGATTTGTTTTCTGGAATAGCTCACGCTTCCATTCAAGGTGAAACCAAAGCGTGTTCAGCCTTACCAGGCCATTTTCACACTTGATCGTTTGCCCCTGTAAGGCCACTTTTTGAAAATAGCGCGCACTTTTGTCTTAAATATAGAAATAAATCTATAGCTATAATGAAGCTATAGGCCTAATGAAAATGCAGTTTTCAACCGAAAATGATGTTATTGTGGGGTAAAAGTTTTTCTCTCAAAGAGAAATCAAGCAAAAAAAAAAAAAAGAAAACCAAACTGCATGTCAGAAATGTTTGCAAAAGAGACAGGTGCCAATTAAGATTAAAATACATGTTTTTTTGTCTGCAGGTTTGGCCGGAGAAAAGTCGTCATTACAGGACAATTGTTGTGGCTTGCTGGTTTCATTGCAACCACGTTCTCGGTAAACATCTACATGTTCATAGTCATGCGTGTCATCTCCGCTGTAGGGGTGTTCGCTAGCTACATGGGCCTGTATGTCTTGGGTAAGCGCCTTGTATACACCTCTCCTATAGAAAACCAGAGGGGGGGGGGATTATCCGATTATCAACCGTTTACTACTGGAGCCCAGGCAGAATGAACCTCTAATATGTATGTTCATGCAAATTTCATTTATGGCACCATTGTTAATTGGCGACCAACTGGGGTCTGATTTTTGAGTTGATGCCACACGAATTTGGACTGAGCTGACTTGAAATAAAATGGCTTAAAATAAACATTGTTCTTGATTTGGAAAGAATCCAAGATGGAATTTCATTCAACCTTGCTCCTAACAATACGCAGGTCAGTGAGTGGCATAATGCACTTATGGGCAAATTCGGGCGCGAAGTGCAGTGTTGGATCAGTAGTCCATTATTTTTTAACAATGCGCATGCGCAATTTTGTTACACTCGAACGACCCCAGTCGGTCAATTTTTAAAAATCTCATCATTACATTTCACCGTTGGCTGGTCATTGAAATATATTTTTGTTTTCATGTAAATGGTTTCCCCCGTAATGATAAATAAAATCGGCTATTAATTAACAGCGGTGCGACCATACCCCTGGGGCCTGGTCCCAAATGGTCGATAGATAGTTCAAAGCATCCATTGTTTGGGCGATGTTAGCCAAACTATGATAAACTATAGTCGTCGCTCAAACGTGCCCCATGATGAAACACTGGATCTTTATGCATGATATCACATCACTATCAGCACAGGAGAGACTCAACTTGAAATTCTGTTGAAATTACCGCAAGCGGGAAGATTCAGAGGTGTCGGGGATGGCGGTTTTGCTGGATTGTATAGGGTACTTGGAGCGCTGTCCACACACAAGTCTTGTTCAACGGATACTCTATGAATGAACAAAATCCGGGTACATGTATAACATATATGCATAGACGTGTTTTAGGCTCTTCTTTGGAGTCCCATGGTGACACGCCCAGCAAACCTTCTGCATAATTTCCATACATTCATCTCATTCGGAGAGGGGTGGAGTTAGCTGGGGCGTGTTCGTCTTCGTTGAGAATGGCCTTTGTAATTTCTAATCTGGTTCCACAGCTCTCGAAGCCGTCGGAAAGTCATGGCGCACGGCGGTCACCATGGCATTCAGCATCGCCTTCGCGGTGGGTTACTTCTTCGTTGCCACCGCGGCTATGTACCTGCGACAGTGGCGATCGCTGTCCATGGCCCTGTCCATGTCATCGATTATTCTGCTGATCCCGTTGTTGTAAGTTTCCGTGATAAACCGGTCTGTGTGCCGTATAATTACGCTATAATCGCTGCCATAAACAGTACAAGACAGATCTTGAACCAAAATCTTTCAGGATTCTCACATGTAACCCTTACTGAATTTCTGTGGGGGGGGGAGTGCACGAGGCTGGATGTTTAGGTTTTTTTTTTACACACTTTGGGAAGGAAGGAGATGAAAAAATCGTATGCACTTTTGTAATTGCCCTTTTTGGATGGGCGATAGACCCTGTTGGCCCCAATGGGTTGATGTTGAGGCAAGGATAAACTGTTTTGGTCACGTTTCTTCTTCAGCACGTACAGCAGGATGCGACCAGTTCAGTCAGATATAAATATGTTTGGATTGAAGTTTTTTTTAAATTTGCCATAAGTGACCGCTTAAAATGTTGTTTATCCTCTTCTCAGTTTTATCAAGGAGTCTGTTAGATGGCTGGTTTCCAAGGGCCGGATCGATGAGGCCGAAACGGTCATCCGGAGTATTGCTAAATTCAACAAGAAAACTTTGCCCGATGTCCTGTTTGAGAAGACGGACATTGAAGACGAAATGGTAAGACGTGCGGCATCACTGGCGTAACCAGCCGACCGGCCTTTGCTCCGGGGTGTACTTCGTCTTACGTTCAAACTCATTAAAATTCCAGTTGAGTGAAGACCTAGACCTAGCTCTAGACAACAGATTCGGATGCAGCCTTAAGTTGTCAGAACTGAACTTCGCCGGTTCACGAACGACTATGAAATGAATGCGTTGCAGTCGCATCGCTACAAACAATATGCACACCCCTTACCATACCAATACGGCTTTTTTTCAACCGATGAGGGAGTGCTTCTGCACGAGGCGGATAGTACACGGTATAACCATCACCGTAGGGACGAGGGTGTGACCTGGTGTTGATAATAGGACTTAATATGATCTAAATTTATTTCGTGCAAAATTATGAAGAAAAAAATTTAATACTCTTATCACACTGTGTAGATTACTGAGATGACATCTTCAACACTCCCAGAAACCTTGTTTTCGCGCGTTTTTATTATCGATCCCAGCATTGATTCCACGTGCTGATGTCTGGCAGGGTTTTCCGAGACAAAAGGTTGCTCGCTGTAAAATCTTACCCCACGAGGGAATAAATGGAATTCAGCTGTGAAAATGGGCTGGCGACCGCCGCCAAGGTCTGTAGAATGTTGTAAACCATACTTGTGTTGCATTGCAGGAATCGAAGAAGTCGGCCATACCTCCATCCGTCGTTGACTTGTACAGAACCCCCAACATGGCGGTCAAGACGATCAACATGCAGTATAACTGGTAAGAATTATTTCCAGATAATATGAATTGGTTTTGCAGATGGATGATGTTGGCATAGGCTGCATTACTTTTGCCTTCACTGAATTAGTTGAATTTTGTTGTCCGAATCGTACCCAATCGCTCCCAGGTTTGTTAACAGTCTGGTGTACTACGGCCTGTCGCAGAGCACCGGCGATCTCGGCGTGGACGACTACTGGGCTTTCTTCGTGTCCGGCGCCGTCGAGATCCCGGCCCTGGTCTATGCAGTCTTTGGCGTGGAGTGGTTCGGTCGGAAGTGGAACACCGCGGTGCTGGAGCTTATCGGTGGAATCGCTTGCTTGGCCACCATCTTCATCCGTACGTAACTACTCGAGCCGAACAGAGGCAGTGTCAAACACACAACTGACAGGCTAAGGCTGCATTATGGCCGAAGGATGTCGCCACTTCCCTCTGAGGAGCAGACGTGTGCCATGATCTGTCGCAGCCAATTTTCGTTGTTGGGCGCAACCTTTTGATACAACAACGTAGAGGCTTGTATCACAAACTGGGATAGACTGAGCAAGGGGCTTCCCCGTTTTAAGATAAATAACTACGAAATAAGACCGGTGCTTTTGCGCTCGTAGGCTATATTCACCACAATCATCACTGTGTTACGCATTTTCGCCGTGTTCATGGTTATCTCTTTCCACTTGTAGCCCTCGGGATCTGGCGGACTGTGGTGGCCATGGTCGGCAAGTTCTGTATCTCTGCCACATTTGCCATTATATATGTCTACTCCGTCGAGTTGTTCCCAACACCAATTAGGTACGATCGTGTTTCAGTTTTCCTGCTGTCATTTCACACAGACAAATTTTTGTTTTTTCCTAAAGTTGGCAGTGGTTAACGAAACTTTGGCTGGCGACATCTGGCGATACATCTGGCCCGGCTATTAAAACAATGATGATGAAAACTTTTACAGAACACTAACTGGAAATAACCGTCAGTCTGGCGTAAATGGTGCACGTGTATTATACTCATTTTGGTCACACGATGTTGTCAGCCAAGGGGAAATATTAGTTTAAACCGGGGGGGGGGGGCAAGAGGGCAGCTTCCCCTCCGGGAAAGAAAAATGGAAAATTAAAGTGGAAACAAGGGGAAAGCGAAAGAAATGAAAACTAAGATGAAAGGGGATGAATATCACCAAGTTGCTTTTTAAAGGAAGTTTTAAACCGACCCCTCCCACTTTCAATGGGCTTATCAGTTTGTGGCTGATGAGTGCTTTGACCCCTAGAAATTTCACCTGGAAAAATCGTGGTTGGTCCCCTGGAACAATCCTAGTGACGTCTACGGTACAACCTACCCACGAGCGTAGCGTCAACTGCAGTAATGGCTACTATTTTTTGGACAAAGACGTAGGCTTTCGACTTTTCTTTTGTTTACAAACATCGACCGTCATTTTGTATGGGCGGCCGAAGTTTGTAGAACGATCAGCTCTGGCCAGTAACATCTTCTATTTCAAAATAAATACATACTTATTTATTCGGTGCTGAAATAGGAGTCGTTTTCATTGCATTTGTGATTTTGTGTTTCAATACTGGGTTGAGAATTTTTTTAAACTGTATACATGGACTGTTTTTTTTACTCTTTATCAGCTGCATTTTGGCAAACCATGGTCGCCAAAAACGGCGCATGTGATACGGCAAAAGCAAGATTTAAACGAAAGGAACATCTTACTGGCGTGTTTATTACCAAACAAAGATCCTACCTTTTATTATTGCAGGGCTGTCGGTTTGGGCGTCAGTTCCTCTGCTGCCCGTGTGGGTGGCATTCTATCTCCCATCATTTTGCTGTTGAAAAACACGGTGCCCGTCCTCCCTCTGGTCCTGTTCGGCTCCAGCACGGTGGTAGCAGGTTGTCTGGTGCTCTTCCTACCAGAGACCAAAGGCCGAAGACTGCCGCAGACGCTCGAAGAAGGAGAAGAATTCGGAAAGTATGTGCCGTCCGATTCCGGGCTGTATCAAATCGATAACAGAGAGATGCATATTAGCCTATCTATTTGGAGTCGATTACCGAAGCATCGGCAGTAGTTGAAACCGGTGAAACATTTTGTCGGTCTTCTTAACACCAAGAAAAGAAAAGAAAAGAAAAGAAAAGAGAGTAGTTGGGTAGTGTAGTAATCGTAGTGGCAGTAATGCCGAATTTATTTTTTAATTAATAAATGGCATTTTCTGTTTATTCAGATGTCGATGCATGGGCGGCAGCGCGTCCGACGAGTCTGGTGTCAACCTTGAAGACATGGTCACCGACGGAGAGGGCGTCTTTGCGATCTCCAACGTAGCCTTCGATCACGGAGAGGAGAAGAAATATCGCGACTTCTCGCAGCAATTCACGCGAAGACACCGCGAGTCTTCGCATATGTAAATCACGATGCATGCTTCACATAGTTATTAATCCTCTCTTATGGCGTCACCCTATTCAGAAAAGTGTCGACCACTTGAATTATTCCAGCGTCAAGCAATTATACTTAACTTAATATTACTTAACAGTTAAATATACCGATTTAGGCGTTCTACAGGTCTCTGAAATACGATTTGCTGCGCTAATATTTTCTGTTTCATGTTCGATAGTAATTACAGGTTTTCATTTTAAAGTGGCACGCATCAGTATCTCCCTTGCAATACACGTTTTTGTGTTAATAAAAAAAAAAAAGTACCAAGTTTTCCTGCGAGTCGATTCCAGTCCGGTATTGTAAACATGGACGTGTCATCACGACTCATTAGCATCTAATGAATATTGATTTCTGTAATGTATTACCGTGGAGAGGAAATACCACAGTGCGCGCGCTATAGGCATGCGTAGAACGTGTAGCCACGGACGACAGCACAAACTTGAAAAATGCTCTCATTCTTCGGAAACTCGAATTTCAATCCCGGTTCCTTTGCAGGATTTCTAGCCCTAACAGCCCTGAATCCTCCCATAGTTTTGCACACACCCTAGGGAGTCAGGGCTAGTACATCCACCAATGACGCACGATTTCGGCATTATTGTAAATCGTGATGAAAGGAGCTCAAACTCTCGACGGAAAAGAGATAATGCGGCACAGTAGACAAGGCACACAGATTTTCCCCGGTACGCGGTATACGCGGTGCGCGCGGTACGGTGCGTACGCACGTGTAGTTCCATGTTCATGTACATGCGCGTTTGTAGCGGAACCAGTCGTGTCAAGGATACCAGTTTCAATGTTCTCTCAGGTATTACATCTTACAGGGCGCTGGGCTACGAGCGAATATTACATCACGACGGTAAGATTGTGGAAAATTTTCATAAAACTTGAAGAGACCGTTCAAAAGTTTCAAAAAAATTACAAAAAATACAGACGCAATACAGACATGATTTGGTAACGAATATATGATTTATCGCACGCTAAACACAATAATAGCTTATTTTTGAAACTTTAAAAAGCGTTGAAGTTGGTTGTTAACTCTTCCTCCGTTGTCAAAGTAAACCATTTCTTGAAATAATTATAACGATAACAATTCATGTTTAACGGAACAGATTGTTTAGAAACTTACCAATCAAGACTTCCCAGGTGATATTCCAAATGTATGCATTTTTTCCCAAACGAAACAATTTCTTACAGATGAGAGATTTCGACGTGTAAGCACGTAACTCGAAGATTGTAAACGTGGTCTTCATTTGAAGAGACGGTGAACTGTGGTTCCCAAATAAGCCGCTATCCAAACTCGGTGAGGGTGGTGTAAAAAGTCCTCAACTCCCTACTGTAATCGATAGCATTTTGATAACTTGAATCTAGCATATTTCTACAGCTAAGTTATTCGTATAAATCCACGTTGATTTGTGAGGTAATGAAGACAGTGTGTACGCCCTACGATCCATTTATGGTGTCAACTGCGCGTCTTTGCCAGTCGACTGCGTGCCTCTGTGCGGACTTAATATACATGCAACCGTCAATGAACAAAAAAATCGTTGTTCACTCAGCCGAAGAGTTGCAAAAGGAATGTCTTGCGCCAGGAGTAAAGTCTTTATATTATATGCAGATGTTAGCTTGCGAACACTGGACAATAGTTCGAATTCATCTCACGGCTCAAAGCATCAGGAAAACCTTTTTTTTGTTCTATTGTTTAATGGACCCTACACCTGAAGTGGAGGCTACATTTGAAGCGAAATGTTGGACAGAGAGAACCCCCCTCAGTTCCTGTTGGTCATTGTTTTACCGGAATCTCAGGAATTCTTTTCAGACATATGGGGTGTGTGTGTCAGGTAACAATAGTCTAGGGTGAGTATAGGGTTTGGACGGGGGGGGTAATCCTCCGTGCCATATCTTGCTGGGTATAACAACGTGGACTGAGACTCGACCGATCAAACCTTCTAAGAATCCGTGTCTGCGGCTGGACAATAAACACGCGTATGCGGAAGCCGCATCTTCCTTTGACAATTCCAGCCATAGTGTGTTCACATCTACCAGTCCTTTTCAGTGATATCTCTCGACTTACTCATTAACCAAGCGGAACTTGGAAATTACCCCGAGTTGATCCAAAATTCCCTTGCAGACTCCTGTCCCGGTTTCTACGTTTCCCCCAAAATCTACCACTTTTATACACCACGCCTTTCGCCCGGAACAGTCACAAATATTGACCAATGTTTCATGGAAGCTTTTTTGCAGGTTTCTGTTCTTGGTTCACATCTTTAAATACTACACAAAGATACACTGAAATACCCTGACAGTAATTGTATCATGGTTTGCACGTAGGACAATTTTGTTTTGTATCGATGATTCTGTTTAATTAAAATTGATGAGTTATTGTGTAACTATTGTGAAATATCTGGGATCGATCTTGTGCGTGTGCACAGAGCATCATGTTTTAACCTGTACTCTTTATTCTGTTTCTACTGCCTTTCGTTGTGTGAGAGACACTGAAGCCGATTTGATCTGTACATTTTGATTATGGGAAAACCCGTAACCCATCTAATACTTTAACATAAGTTTATTACCAGTTCAGTTTGGAATGTGTTAAGAGCCCTTTGCACATATAACCTCTCCTAGTTACCCTGTTTAAATACCGCTATAAACCGTTATCATACAGACAAGAATACACGCACCTGTCTCGAAAGGAGGATGTAAATGGTCCACTATTTATTTTCTGTAAACTGTTAGTCAGTACTCTTAAAGTAATAGCGATCAAATGCCGCTCACTTGTATTAGCATTGGTTGAGAGTAAAGAGTAAATATTGCAGTGAATAAAATGTGTCGAATTGCTTTGTGGGTTTGCTTTTGTAGATAGGAGCGAAAAGTAAATAAATTTTCTGCTAAAAGATACAATGATTCTTTTCAGTAATTCTAAAGTCCGGTCCATGTGATAACCAAATATCATGGTTGTGCTAAAAATGCCAAATCCTAAAGTGTGTTCAAAGTATCAGTGCCTGAATTTTTTTTCACAAACGTGGAGGCAAGGAACAGCACCCAAGTGGGCGCAAACTGCCACGAGGCCCGAGCTGGATCAAGAGAGGGCGCAATTTTCCTTGAAGAGGATAATTAACTTCTTAGAAACTGCCCCCAAAGGCCACTTGATTACTTCAAAGCACAACAATAGTACGAAAACTACATGCAAACTGCAAACAACTAATAGAAAAACAAGAAAAAAAAACAATACTATGTGCAATGAATACTGGCTCTCCAAATTGCCCCTAATATGGTTATTACAAAACCCCATCAGGAAACCAGGGGAAACCAAGTATTTGCTAAGTTTAATGCGTAAACGAAATGGCAATAATCGTGATTCTGAAGTGGTACTGAAATATATAGGCCTAACCTTTATGATTTTGCTATATTTATCCCGCATAAACAAAAACCATTAAGACACAGAATTAGAAAGAAAGGATTTTCTCAGAGTTTAAAAAAAATAACAAAGCAACACTTTCCCAACTAGTCAGCCTCGAAAATGGTTTATATTGCCATGCACATCTAACAGCGCCCATAAATCGCCAGACACCCTTGTATTGAAACGCCGACTCAACTCTTGACATTCATCAGAGTAAATCACTTAAGCTCTGTTTGTGCTCAATGTTGCACTTGATCATAGAGAGTTGACATGTCTTACACATAACTCGTGAAAATCGTATCAGTTATTGCATTTGTGGAAAAGTCACAACTTTCTCTCATGCAAGATTTATTACCAGAAAAGAGGGGCATGCCCTGATATCTTGGTGAGCTTGTTGATACCAGAAATAATTACCATTTTCTACGTGTAAGTCCTTTTGTTTTACATGTGTGAACTCTCGTGCAGTCCTTTGGAAAACTGCTGCGAGAAGTCGCGATATTTCTTCTCTTCTTCACGACCGAAGGCTGCGTTGGAGATCGCAAAGACGCCCTCACCGTCGGCGTCCATGTCGACGAGCTCGGCGTTAGACTCGTCATACGCGTTCCTGCCCATGCATCGACATCTGCATATCACAAATTCAATGGAGCTTTTGAGCTAAAACAGCCGAGTCACATTACAACACATCGTCCTCTGAAAATTAACGGCGGTTTAGAGCAATAAAAATGAACCATTTAGATATTACTTTAACCATAAAGGCAAGTTCATTAGAGAAAAACGCACCTGATGTCACGGCCGCTCGAATTATGATCAGTTCATGTAGTCGGCTTATATGGTTTTGATGGCCGCATCTCCCATCATGCGTACGTGTTACTTTTCTCGAATGACCTCATAGGCGGTTCATTTTGTACATCTTCTGATTTAATATCCAACTGACCCATCCGGGCGGAGCACTTTCGAGGAAAACCCACCTTCCTATTTCTTCCCCTTCCTTGAGTGTCTGGGGGAGCTGCTGGCCGCGCGTTTCCGGTAACAAGAGCGCCAGAAATCCCGCTACCACTGTGCTGGAGCCGAAGAGAATGAGAGGGAGATCGGCCACACTGTTTTTCAGGAGTAGGATAATTGGAGAGAGAATCCCCCCAATTCGAGCCGCCACGGAGCACAGTCCCAGTCCAACAACTCTGCAAGGCGAACATGAATTTTGGAGAAATGGTTGCGCTGTCGAGCATTAAACTGCTTTGATTACCGCATGATCATTAAGATGAATAAAGAAATTGACTGGAGCGGAATTTGAACCTGTGACCTCCAAAATACCGGTGCCAGTGCTTTATCAACTGAGCTGCCGGCCCTACGTTGTTGGCTCGTCCCATTTGTCAATTATCTTTGCCAGGGGGCGCTAGCCAGAAGCCATGGAGCCTGAGACACCAGGTCGCAGGTTCGAATCCCACTTTAGTCCATTTCATTGTTCATCTTTATAATCAAGCATTTGTAAGTACCTAGTCGGTCTTCCTGTATAATTTGTTTCGTTTTAAAAAAATAATAATTTAAACGAATTAAAGACAAGGTTGGCTCATCAGAACCACGTTACCTGACAGGTGTGGGAAACAGTTCGGTCGAATAGAGATAAATGATGCCGAATGTTGCGGAGATGCAAAACTTGCCAACCATTGCCACCACGATCCTCCAAGTACCAGTGGCTATGAGGAGGGAGAAAGAGGGGCGGAATCATCCTCAGGTGCAACAAGTGAGAGACACGCGCAAGACTGATTAATGAAATTGTGCTAGCCTAAGGTACACGACTGATCACTTATCTGCTCCTCTGTTGTGTGGAGTGGGATGGATGTAGGTTATGAGTCATTCATTTCAGATAATCCCTCGTTGCTTGATTGCAGCACAGCACATCAACGTAGAGCAAAGCAACGCAATGCAACGAAAAGCAACGAGACACAACCCAACAACACAGTACCACGGCACGGTACAACACGCGCACTCACTCGGCGGTTTCGTAGCTCTCAAGGTATACACTAAAGGGGTATTCGGATTCTCTACGGCGTGCGTAACTCACGGATCACAATTGTCGCCAAACAAGCTGCACCACCGATCACTTCAAGTATACCCGTGTTCCATTTCCGGCCAAACCACTCCACGCCAAAGGTGGCATAGATCATGGCCGGGATCTCCACGGCGCCGGACACGAAGAAAGCCCAGTAGTCGTCCACGCCGAGATCGCCGGTGCTCTGCGACAGGCCGTAGTACACCAGACTGTTGACAAACCTGCAAGACAATAATGCCAAGTAACATCGCATGAGTGCGTTTCAACGAGACACTTGCTAAGGAAATAGGGTTGAAATTTCTGAGAGTTGCTTAGTGCAAGTGACATACACTGTCAATCTCAACTGTCCAAAATTTTGCCAAAATTTCTCCGAAACTGCACGATTGGTAACTTGTATCAACTTTCAATTATAAATGCTCAGCAGTTTGAATCTAATAATTTACACTCTTGAAAGAGTCAGCTGTCTTTTCCTCAAACTAGTTACATGTACATACAATTTGTGAATTTCAATAAAAGTCACAAATGTTAGGAAAAAATCTCAATATCAGTATACATCCAGAAGCTGTTCCTAAATTTCTCGAAAAAGCTTCCCAATAAAGTAACTCTAATGTAATACGCTTATTAAAAGTATCCATAAACGTCATTCATATGGCTTCTCTTACGCACCAGTTGTACTGCATGTTGAGCGTCTTGACCGCCATGTTGGGGGTTTTATACAGGTCAAGGGCAGACGGGGGAATTGCAGACTTTTTTGCTTCCTTAAAACAAAACAGGAAAGGAACAGTTGCAGGCTGTGGAATTTCGCCTTATATCCTTTCATATGCTCCCTTAAGTTGTACATGCGCATTGTCGGCCAAGGAGAGCAGGCCTAGTTCACGCTTACCAGGAAACAGCGTTTGCCTCAAAATTTGCTTTTGTAATATTAAGAAAGAGGCATTTACAGTAAAAAAAAAAAGAAAGGACTAGGAGTAATTAGCCTTTCAACGCTCATCTGAGACTCGTAGAAGCTTTCTGATTCTTTCTTTTACTGTTCATGTGCCAGCTAGTGGCGTATCCAGCTTGTGATGTGTGTGTGTGTGGGGGGGGATTCAAAAGCGAATGCGGCTTCTGGCTCATTCAAAATGGTGTTGGGGGAGAAAAAATATTAAAAGCCTTACGGCACCGACATCCTTGCTTTTATTTCATGGTGCTGCTTTCCAAGGGTTTTGGTATTTATATCTGATAATTCAATGTACCGATTACTTTCTTACCTGTAAAGTATTTTTGTGTGAAAAAGGAAATCTGTCAGAGCGGGGGGAGTTGCCTGCCCCCTCCCCCGCTGAATACGCGAATGGTACCAGTCACGGTTCGCTAACCACTGCTTGGGAAAATACGACCGTGACGTAGCAAACCAGCAGTTCACGCAGCAGGTTTGCGCAGGCGTTTCAGCGTACCATTTCCTTTTCGATGTCCTCTTTATCAAATAAGGCATCGGGCAAAGTCTTCCTGTTGAACTTGGCCACCCTCCTGATGACCTTTTCGGCCTCATCAATCCGGCCCTTAGAAACCAGCCATCTGATCGACTCTTGTAGGAATCTATTGGCAAAAAAAATCCTCAATCTGTTAGGCCCTAGGTTGAAAAAAATACCGAAGAGCCAGGAACAGCACTGTTAGTTTGCTTCTATGCAAAGTCATGCGCAATATGCAATGCCATGCTTTATTAATTGTACAAATTTGTACCGGTAGTGTCACATTGACTTTGTTCGAATGGAAATTCAAACGAAAAACTTACATTGTCGGGATGAACAGCACCACCGACGTGACAGAGAGCGCGAGTGACAAAGCACGCCACTCCCTGAGGTGCATGGCTGCGGTGGCGATGAAAAAGTATCCCACAGAAAAGACAATGGCGACAAACATTGTCACGGGTGTGCGCCATGCATTGCCTACATATTCCATAACTGCAAGAAACAGAGCCCAAATAAAAGCTGACTTATGTTACGTCCAGTTATGAGGTGTACATCGAGACACGACGATTTCCACTTGTGGTATACGTGGACCTCCGATCAATGGAGAATGTAGATTCAGACGCCATAACTTGCGGTGGCACCGCATTCACACGCACATTCTGCAGCTTGTCGCGCGCGTGCATTTGGCAAATCACGACGCACGTAACGCGCGCGTACCACCTGTCCATGGGCGTCGTATTACCAAACCAATGATGGAATTTTATTCTAGTTGTTCATTTACGTTATGAAGGCAACCTTTGTATCTGAATCTTCCGTTTGAAATTTTATCCTGGGGAATAATGAATGGTTTCATATAGTTTGCGCAAATGTTGGGGCATTATTGCAAACCTTTGTGCAGAGAAAATGTTCAGGAATGAGCACTTTTAGATAAAGTATTGTAGAAAATTTGAAGGTGTCCTTTACAATTACATTATAGGCACAGAGTCATTATTACAAATACACCTGTCTCTGGAATTTATACTTCATTATGAAACGAGGGGTTAAAGCTACATGTAACATAACTTACCCAGTACGAACAGACTCAAGTAGGCACCCAGATTACCAAAACCAGCGATAAATCGGAGCGCCATGTACATGTAGATGTTGACAGAAAAGGTGGTGGCAATGAGAGCCGTCACCCATAGGAATTGGAGAACAATTGCGACTTTTTTGCGACCAATCCTACACAAAAGGAATGGAGATTATTCCCTTCAGACGCAACTTTCACTTTGTTTGATTTCAATGGACAACTCTAAAACAGACAACTGTTAGGTACGTCTGCTGGTGATGTTCCATTTATTTCTATGGATGCATGAGGCACATTAAACACCATGAGATAGATGTGGTATGCGCCTCCGCCAGCCAGTGGTTTATCACCCGTTTAGGACTGCCACGTGACCGGCTCTCGACCTACAGGAATGGCTAACATCAATTGTGTCCTGATAGTATTTATGAATAGCAGAAAGGGCGCCTTTCCATACATACGTTTTTGGGTGCGTTTGAGGACGCGATGCCTTCATGCGTTTCTCTTTCACTGACACAAAAATCTATTCCATGAACATAACACACGTGTACGTTGCGTTCGGTCGTCAAAGTCGCTCTGGGAGCGATTTTGGCAGATACACAACGCTTGGCCCAATACGGGCGATTCACAATAGTGCGCCACCAAGAGTTTGCAACGTGTTGCCCAACCGTAACGCGAGAAATTTGTCGACCCTTTCCAAACGCGCGTTGGGTCGACAAATTCGCGCATTGTGATTGGCCAACGCTTTGCCAACTCTCGGTGGCGCACTATTGTGAAACGCCTGTATTGTTGAATGCGCCTTTAAATCTATTCGGTAACTCGTACACTTAAGACCTTACCAATCAGAAAATGCGCCACCGACGAAAGACCCCACCAAATAACCGCCAAAGAAGAGGGACTGTGCCAGGCTAGCAAGACTGCCTTGTTCACACACCAAGCCAAACTTGAATAAAGGGAGAGTCAACGGAAAAGATGCGAAACCCGTCAAATTATAAAAGTGGTTCATATTACGAAGGGAATAAATATTTCCCTGGCCGGTCTTAAACGTGCGTTTAAGACCGGCTCAGGAGAATGGACGCGATTAATCAGCGTTACCGGCCAAGCACATATTTATTCCCATTCAAAAATACCTTTTTAGTCAGAAAGTCCACAGAAACCAACATCTGATGGATTTTCTTCTGAAATTTTACTTCCAGTTTCCCAAACACCCCCGTCCATTTTATGGTATGTTCCTTTTAAAAGTTGCCCAATAGAATCCCCTTCAATGAACTTGGCGTGCGCGTGGCGCGTCGCTTGCACACAGACTCCTAACCAATCAGACCACGCATGTTTCAGAGGGAAATTATTAAACTGCCCATGTCCCATTTTAAGTTCATTTGCATACGTAATGAGGGCCATGAGAATTCGTGCCAGGCAAGCAGATGCTTCATTTCATGAAATTTGCGTCTTATTTTCAATTTTTGGACAATACCTGCCCAAAATATTTTATGGTAAGATGAGGCCTTTTCTAAACGTATTTTGTGAAAATAAACAGAGAAATAGTACCTGAGTGGTCAAAACTGGTGCTTTTTGTGTAAAGCTCTTTTCGTGAGGGGACCATGGTTTATTTACGTTTTGTTGCGATTTTTGAAGGCTTGAAACAAAGTTTTCCTGAAGTTTTCAAAACTGGGCTGTGGTGGAGAATGGTTTGAAGGTTTTAGATTTGGTGACAGTTTCTGCCAGATTTTTTTCTCTTCCCGACCGGACGCGTTTACATATCGGCCTCAGTCACGCAGCACCGCCGCCCTGCATTATCTTACGGCCTTTCGAAGGTAAGAATTCAGTGACTCGGGAACGGGTAAGTTAATATGTCTTGAACTTTATTATTGCAACTGGGGTCCATCTGTTATTGTCAGGAAATGTCGAAATTCACGGTATGTATCCCCAGTTTTACATGTATCATACTTGCATGAAACACAATGTGCACTGACTTCGACGCATAATTTCCATGTACACGCACATGTATATGCACAATGTACGCCAGTACGCGTGTACCAGGCCGTTTGACGCAGTGTACCATGCACAGTACGTGGCTGGATCAGTTTGCGGATGTAAAACGCGTAGAAAGCATAAATAACTCATGAAAATCGAACAAAAAAATAAAACTGATTGTACTGTGTAGTTGAGATTCGGCCTGTCGTATGAAGTGTCTCATTGTTATGGGAAAACTTCTAAAATTGAGAAATTTAGTGGAAAAAAGACCAAGAGATCGATCGAAAGTGGAAATATCTTAGCATCTTAGCAACCACTTTGGGGCTAAATTTCGTATTTATGTAACATTTCTTTTCACGATTCTGGTGTGTTTTATTCGGTTTAAGCCTTCTGGAGCACATAAAAAGAGTTTCAATGTAATCGTTTGTTAATTTTGTGCAAATGAAGTCTTCAAAATGAGAAGGCTCATCATAAGATTGGTAGGTTGCTAAGAAGAATTTCGTATGGTTCACGAGGGTCTGGTCAAGCAACCGCCGCGCACTGTCGAAGTCATTAATTTCCACACTTCGCATGGGAGTGAAACATACGTGAGACCCGATTAAACTCTCTCGTGTCCATGTGCTAGCGCGTGATTTACGCTGCGGGAATTATCACTTCTCAGCGGGCATTATCAAATGTTAATTAATACACGGTCACGTGACGCGTTTCGATCAATTATATAGGAATAGAAAAACTGTCCCAGGATTTCATGAATAAACATTTCAAGGCGCCTTTCCATGCACTTTTCGGGGTGCGTTCCGTACACGATGCGTTCGTACGTTTCACGTTTTTCTTAATTTTTTTTGTCTTCCTTACTGAATGGTCGGTTAGTTTTATAGTTGCATGTGTTCGTGGATACTCACTCATAATACCTACACACTTCCCCAGAAGGAAATTTGGTACTGAAAAGGTGAATCCTGTAGAGCGATTTTTTGTAGCTCATTTTTAAAGTTACCTGCCTATTTAGTACAATTATCTTTGATAACGAAGGAAGCATGAAATTGCAGGACAAATGGGGTGTCTCGTTCCGTGAACGGTTGTAAAGATTCAGAAGTAAATTATGCATTCGGTGTAGGTTCTAAGCTAAATTTAAACAAGGTTTTCGAACTAAACCCATACCTCTGAAATGGTAGTGATTTTGTACTGTGATGTGTCGAACTCCCAGCCCTCCTTACAGTCGACTAATGTCTGGTTGAAGCCCGGAACATCACGGAGGGGCACGTACGGATCAAACGCGTAGCCGTCCGGCAAGTCCCACTGCTTGCAGTTGGAGTGGGAATACTCGCTGTCATTCCTCTCCGCTGGGGGCAGGAGAACGACCTTCTTCACCTGAGTGCAGTTGTCTAGGAACTCTGGCCAGCTGGAGCAGTTCTCGCCGGGCAGGACCGAGCACCAGTGGTCGGTCCCGGCCGAGTAGAACACGTTGCCCAGCGACGTAAAACAAGAAATGATGTTGTAGAGACTGAGGTAGCACACCATGACGAGCTGGTAGCGGCCGAAGTTGCCGAGAAGGGGAGTGATTTCGTCTACCTTCATCGTGTTTCGCGTCTCGCGCCCTAAAGATCTCGGGAGACGAGTATTTCGATTGACTGTACCAAAGTCGCCGCTGTTCACCTCGTTGCAAATGTGGGAAACCCTAAGGATAATGGCGTAGCCACAGCGGAACGCTGATCAATCAGATATACAGTTCTGTCCCAAGCACCACTTTGAGTTTACCTAACAGTCCAAACGTATGCATTCTTAGGTGACTTATCTAAGATTTTAACAACTCTTCACGAGGCAGGGTCCACAAATGAACATAAATGCCACTGTCTTATCAAATGTGGCTCTTGGAATGTTTTCCAAGGTACACAGGTTCAGGGGCCAATTGAAGGTGACGTTGGCGTCCATTGTGGCCTCTGAAGGATAGGCTCAACATAGCTGCACTTAAATGTATTCACTGCGGCCATTGATAAGTTACACGCGGGATCGTCTGCATGGTGCGAAGAATTTGTGAGAGAAGAGGCCTCCCACCCCGGGTACAATATATTTGTGACACAACAGCCTGTGGATGCACCATGATTCTGCCGGCTCCTCAGTACCCAGGAACCCAAATGATGACTGTACCGTTTCGAAAATATTCAGTTAGCGCTTTTACTGAAAGAAAATTGCAACCTCTCGGGAGAGGGGGGGGCAAAACTTAAATGAAACTAAAATAGATAAACAGATAACAGAATCAAACATGAAATGTTCTCAGTGTCATTATCTCTGTTGAGTGCGGAATTTCGAAATTTAGAAAAAAGCCCCCCAGGTTTCAAGACAGTTGCCATAGGCCTGTATTTTCTGCATTGGCGTGTCTTTTACCGATTGAATATTATCTTGGTTTTTGAAGTACGGGGAAACATCGCACTTGTTGCAATAGTAAAGATCCAGTTCAGGAAAATCTTCTTGATCCTCAAGTTTTTGATTCACTTTGTGGGTTGAACAAAAACCTTTTCTTCCGTTAGCCTACTTAAGGAGGGAACTTCAACTTTCTCCTTTTTGGAATCCTGAAAAAGACAAGTGAGTGGTTTTTTGAGTCCTGCTGATGGTTCGCAGAATGTCTCGTTTGAAGGTTCTTATAAAAACGCAATAACTGGCCACCGTTTTCCCAAATTTCCACGCTCCCCTTAAAGTAAGCAGAAAAATTGACAGGATTAACAGGTAATTACTATTAGTAGTATGTAGTAGTGACAACAATTTAGGTGACACTTGATTAACATGCTTTTAACAATTCATTCATAATATTCAATGTTCTAAACTAATCCACGGAAAAAAGCCTACAAGATGGTATATTGATTATGTTGTATGTAGAATTTATCCAATCATATTTCAATTCTTTGCTTTCTTTATCCACGTACATTGACACAACATAAAATAGGCAGAAAATCAACTGCCAACAGTTCCGCTCAGCTATCGACAGATGTCGAATCAGCATCGTACTGCTGAGAAAAGTCACTTTGATTCTCCTCCTTGGAATCGAAGGCCGGAATTGACAATGTGATGGCGCTGTCCTTGATGTACTTGTCGATCACGTTCACTTCGACCAGTGACTCACTGTCGATGTCGACGCCACTTTTCATGCAACGACACCTGATGAAATCAAATAATAGTGAAAAACTGCAGCATACTGTAAACTTTTCAGAAGTATAATGTTTCAGAATTGCCCCAAATGTCAGGATTATTTCAGCCAGAAGTAGTGGGCCTTTAGGTTTCATTAATCATGATTTGCTAGCTTTCAGCACTTTGGACAAAAAATCAAATGTAAGTTTGACGTAATTGTAGCCATTTGTGAGAAAAACGGATGATTTATCGTTGTCGTTACTGCAACTCCTCTGCAGGATATTTCGTGGAGTTTGCTCCATTCCTCCGATCGCATCTGCCATTTACAAAGAAACGTGTTACATCGCAGGAAATTTCTTTTTTTTTTTGGTCCTCTTTAATATCAAATGTAGAAAAACATAACCTGACTGCTGAACACATCTCAGCATCCAACACTACCCGTTAGGAAGACTTACTTTCCTATCTCCTCTCCTTCCTCTAGCGTCTGGGGTAGTTTTTGTCCTTTTGTCTCAGGCAAGAGGAAAACAAGAAGTCCCGCCAAAACGGCGCTGGAGCCGAACACTGCTGAAGACGGACCGCTTCCCAACAACAGGATGAGGGGAGAAATGATGCCCCCGATACGAGACGACACGGAGCAGATACCTACTCCGGCAGTTCTGCACCACAAAAGGAATAAAAACGTCATTTATTTTACCAAAAAAGAGCTTTTAAATTTTCAACACGTTTGACTACACACTTCTCATAATAACGAAAATGTTATCGCAAAATGCCAACATGCGCAACGAGGGAAGCCCCAATACATCTGTATTATGTAATATATGTGCCAACCTTATACTGAGGTCCAGCGTCCATAACAGGTTGAAGTAAGCGTTAACCTTGAACAAAACAATTACCAAGGTCTACAGATTTGGGCAGGAACTTTTTAGACTACCTCTCCAAACCGCCTTTGCTAGCTAGACTGATGACATAAATCATTCAGTATGGGTCAAATTAAAAGCCGTCAAGAAGTTTACAGGAAAACTTGCTGGATTTGAGACGTTATTCTCGTGGGATCAATAATCGCTACAACAAGACGGACTATTAGTGACTATCTGACGAACTGCATGGTATACTGGAGCAGAAATTCTGTCGTTTTTGATGGTTCACGGATGACCGCTTTTGGCTTATGCAGTACACGGTAGGGCGTACGGGGCGAGAGTCCTTTTGCTTTTTTGCCCGCGTGCAGCAATATTCCTATGTTAACGCTGAGCAGAAGCTCAAGTGGTTAAAATTTTGAATTGTTGAAGAAAACTTTCCAACATATCAGAAAAAACTAACCTGACTGGTGTAGGAAACAGCTCGGACGAGTACAGATAAATTGTACCGAATGTGACGGAGATGCAAAATTTGCCGATCATTGACACCACAGTCCTCCATACACCGATAGCTGAAAGAATTAAATTGACTGGATGAAAATCAAAACCCTTTTTACGTCTATAAACATGATTTTACCTAAATAGTTAAACGACAGGTGAGTCTGACATTTGCCTGATGTGATGGTCTGTCGACCTGCGCGCGATCCAGCTCTACTTGACGGCCAAAATCGTTTTGAATTTTGAGTCCAAATTATTTCCTATTACTATAAATGAAAGCCTTTTTAAGTACAATCTAACATTAACTTCGTTTGCAGTTGAATACAAGTGTAGCTTCCATCAATTAGTTTTGGCCTGAAATACTACGGAACTTAAACACAACTCACTTATGTTGTTGTTGTTGTTTTGTTTTAATGGCGCTTTCAGTAACTCAGGCTATTTGCGCCAATAACTGTCCGTTTATTCATACACTTTATTAATCAGCATCACATTACGGAGTTAGGATGGAGGTCCGATTTTAGAGGCAGGAGGAAACTGGAGTACCCGGAGAAAACCTGCGAGAGCGAGTATGGACTGGAAACCAAATGCACTCAAAGTCTGGGCCAAGCCAGGACTCAAACCCGGGCTTCATTGGTGCAAAGCGAGGAAAGAACCGCTACGCTAACCCGCTCCCCCACAACTCACTTATTTCCTGGAACAGCACAGCTGTATTCTTAGTCATCTTATTACGTTGAGTTCTTACATTTACTCTTTATAAGAGTCCACAATCTAGAACTATGCACGAAAGGTTATAGGAACACATAAGAAAAAAATCTTTTGGGGGGATGGGGCTGAAAATGAAGTCTGATGCTGTCAAATTTATGAGACCAGAACACTTACGAATAAAGATCGTAGCCAAGCAAGCCACGCCCCCGATCAATTCAAGCACTGCGAGGTTCCACTTTCTGCCGAACAGGTCCAGCCCAAACATGGCGTACAACTTGCCGGGAATCTCCACAGCGCCGGACAGGAAGAAAGCCCAGTATTCGTTCATGCCGAGATCGCCAGTGCTCTGCGACAGGCCGTAGTACACCAGACTGTTGACCAGCCTGGTGGAGAGGGAATTTCATACCCAGAAAAGCGTGCTTTAAAACATCGCTTAAAAGTACCCTTTGTCCCGACAATTGTAAACAGAGAGCTCTGTTTAAAATGAAATGTTGATTGATCGCCAAACAGTCACCTACAATCGATGAATATCAAGATAATGCTTTTGCAGGGTGCCCTCTTGTTATTCTTTTCAAGTTTTAAATACGAGCATTATAACTGATGGGTTATGAACTGATGAAGTTTTGACACAGGCGAATGGGTACCGAGGTAAAAAGGGGTTACTTTGCCCCATTCTGGACAAATCGACAAAAGAATGGGGGAGGCGACAGACAATGAAAGAGAGATAAAATGGGATAAAAATTACCAATTTGCTCGGACAAACCTCCAGATTGACCCCTTACCAGTGTCAATGTTTGAGCAGTTCGCTGGTGGTCATTGCTTTGCCTCCCCGGGAAATTTCCTTCCCAAAAAGTCTGCCCTGAAAATTCCTGGCAACGCCAAGCTCAGGCGTATTACTGTTCTATGTAAAGTTCATCATCATGTGCGTTGCGAAGCACGGCGATATAACAAAGACAGTCCCATAACAATAAACCTACAGGAGACTTGTTATGTAACACACATAGCCTACCAGTTATACATCATGTTGATTGTCTTGACTGCCATGTTGGGAGTTTTGAACAGGTCGATTACGGATGGCGGAACAGCCGAATCGTTTGATCCCTTTATTCAAATGAAACGAAGTGCTGTCAGCTCAAATGTCTTTAAATTTCTTAATTCTAAGATGTCAGATTGGAACATGTTCAATATCCCGACTTACATCCATGTTGGATGCCAACGCCATTTAATATTTGGATACTCCCCAGTGTTTTGCTGCACACTGATAAAAGGATAGTGACGGTGTGGTAAGACTCACCGTTTTTGCTTCTTCAAAATCGTCTTTTTCAAATAAGACATTGGGTAAAGTCTTCCCGTTCATCTTGGCCACCCGCCTGATGGCCGCTTCAGCTTCCTGAATCTTACCCTTAGAAACCAACCAGATGACGGATTCCTCGACGAATCTGCAGAGAGTCGCAGACGATCAAGTTTGACTAAAACTCGGAGTGATTATTTATTCATCAAGTGGGTTCGAACGGCACGGTCAAAATGCTATTGGTTTTGCTCTTCATAAGATGACTATTTGGGATTGTGGTTCTCGAACCCACTATTTTACTGAATACACTGAAACGGGAAGGAGCCTATTTCGCTATAATTTTACATGTAGCCCTATTAAAAAACACATTAGGATACTAAAGGTGCTTGACCCTTATCCATAATTTGGAGCTACCCAAAGGACAAATGATTTGCCGCTTTGCATCATCCTCTTTCGTATACACATGACCGGGAGTTGCCTCGCTTTTGAGTCATGATGAGCGAGGCCAGTGAAATACTCACAGAAGCGGGACGAACAAGGGAATCGTCGTCGAGGCCATGATCAGGCACAGGGTCCGCCATTCGTGGACGTGCATCGCTATGGGTGCCAACACGAAATACCCCGCGATGTAGCACATGCTGATGGTCTGGGCAGTTCTTGTACGATAAGGCTTCCCGATAAGTTCAAGGACTGCAAAACCAGAAAATGAACTTACTGGGATCTCAATGACTTAAGATATAACGTTTTTTAGAAGTGTCATCCAAACCATTGATATATAGAATTTCAAATTTAGCTGGTAACAGATTATCGCAAATCACTTACCAAGCACGTAGATGGTAATGTAGGTGCCAATATTGCCGAAACCAGCGAGAAAACGAAAAGCCATGTACATGTAGATGTTGACAGAAAACGTAGTGACAAGAGAACCGATTACGTAGAAGATGAGACCCACAAATATCGCCTTCTTACGACCAATCCTTAGAAGAAAAAGAAATCAAAGACTTGATTTAAGTGCACTTTTTTTCTGTTTGACTTCACCTTTGAGCTTTTTCATGGAATAAAGAACTTTTGCCACAACACAAACGCCGTTTTTGCTAACCAAAACTCGGCAGTGAGAAAAAACCATAAAAGTTTAAATAAGCCACGAGTTTAAACACCCCATGCTAATATTCAAACATTAGATATTCCATGCGACTACTGAGTACTCAATGAGAACGATTCCCTTTTTGACACCGATAAAGCAAACTGTACGTTTTGAAACAAAAGTTGTTGAGAACTGTATCCGCTCCGAGCGGAACAAAAGAGGGCGTGTTTGTAAATGAAATTGACGGTCCTTTCGGTTAACTCACCACATAGGTGCGCAAGTATAATGAAATTTTGACGCGGAGCACGCTGAGTACGCGCAACGAATCTATTGTGCAAAAATTCGGTTGTACCATCTGTCTTTCTTTCGCCGATTGAGGGTGTAGGCCTACTTCAGCTCGGGCGGATACTGGGAAGGGTCCACGCCATGGACATACTTTGGCTGCCTTTACCAAGCGGCGGTGAGCACTTGTAAACAAAAGAACGATTTATAGGCTGATTTGAATGAATGATTATAGGCGCACAAAAAGATTATGTATCTGATTCGTAAGTGTGACGTCACTTCAGTTTAAACGATGCCCACTGCGCATGCACTGCACATAGAGTTACGTGCCTTGATCGACGATCAGATGAAATCATGGAACCGGAAGTCAATGCGCGACTTCACCGATCGCCCAATAAAGAGCTTGTTACTCTTGGCGCTTGCGTGTGTATGGCAAAGCCACTTATGAACAGGATAGGGTGCACATAAAGGTCTTTCATAGGCATATCCTGTTTGTAAGTGTGACGTCACTTCAGTTTAAACCACGCCCACCGTACATAGAGCTACATGGAACCATGGAAACCCGAAGTTGACCTGCAACTTGAGTGTTCAATCGAAAGAAACTTGCAGTCAGTAGTGCCTGCGCGCATATGACGAAGTCACTAATACGAACCGGAATAAAGACGCTAGGCTCTCCTTTCACGTTCTCTCAGAGGCGTCGGGGCGTAAGCCTGGCGGAGTGCTGAAACGACTACGAAAGCGGAACCAATGAACCTCCACTATCCAGTGCACTTCTACAGGAAATGTGGGTTCTCTGCGCCACAAAATCGGTGAACTTTGTTGTTCACACTCGGAAGGAAACTTGGTTCAATTCACCTGTTCCGAACTCAGCTGCAGTACCAGCGGCGCGGTTCTACTCTTTTCCGCCCGGATCGCGAATTCAATCATTAAGCGATATATAGGCCGGCCTGATTCAACAGGTTGGGGTATGTGATTCCAAGTAAACGATAGGTGGTGCAGGGACGTTGCGATGACTCTCACATGTGAGTACACACGACCGAAAATGCCCGACCAGCAACGATGCTGAGTGTTGACGACGTTGAGTTCGGAATATTTCGGATGTTTTCGAAAAAGGGAGGATTTCCTCCGTTTTGTCACGCGAGAGTGCGAGATACTGGATCCTTGAATCGAAAGAGAATGGTCAGATTCACCAGGTTTTAGAACCAGACTAGTGTTTATACATTCGTAACTCCTTACCAGTCGGACAGAGAGCCGCACACCAGCGATCCAACCAGGAAACCCCCGAAGTAGATGGACTGCGCAAGACTGGGCAGACTTTTTTTCTCGCACACCAGATCAAACTTTGACCGAGCAAGAAATTAAACAATGCGTGAATTGTAACGAAAAGAAGTGACATTTTCCATGAGTGATCAAAAATCACTTTCTTCTCTTTTCTCACTTTAGACAATCAATCATGTTATTCTTGTAAAACTTGACACTACAGAGAGTCTCCTACGATTTCAGAGTACATTCTCGCAAATAGGAATTGTGTTACATGGCATCTTCTAGGAAAACTACACTCACGCTGAATAACGTACCTCTGAGTTGACTGTAGTCTTGTACTGCGACGTGTCATACATCCACCCACTTTCGCATGGCACGACAGTGAAATTGTCGACGTCAGTGGGTGGCACGTACGGATCGAACGCGTACCCATCCGGCAAGTCCCACTGATCGCAGCTGGAGTGAGGATATTTGCTGTCATTGGACGCTGGAGGAGGCAGGAAGATGGACTTCTTCACATCGGTGCAGTTGTCCTGGAACTCCGGCCAGCTCGAGCAATTAGCATCGGGCAATACGCTGCACCAGTGGTCCGTCTCAGCAGCGTAGAACACATGGCCGAATGTCACAATGCAGGTTGTCATGGCCAAGAAGCCCCCATAACAGATCATGAAGAACTGGTAGCGGCCGAAGTTCCCCAGAAGGGGCAAGATTTCCTCAAGCTTCATGATGGACAAAATTACATTACAACCCTCGGCAATACTTAGAAATATCAAATCAGCGCACTACGCCTGAAATAGTGACCATTGACTTTACACACAGTCTCTCGTATTTTAGCCTTCTCCAAATCTCCTAATTTGCCCCTCGGTCATCTGCCCTCAAGTCTGTCCTCTTGAATATCTTGGTTATTATTAGTTCAAACAACCAATACTTGACAGGAATGGATCTGTTTCTCCATGTCATCACAGTAGATATGCCACTGGATTTATGCAATCAAGTGATGGACTACATTGAAGTTTGGTAGTGCCTACAAAGACAAATTCATTCTCAGCAGGTCCGGAAAAAAAGTTGATTCATTGCTGTAACGTATTTTGTACGTTAAAGTTGAGAAGTTCAAAAGTAGGCAAAGAGTGGTAGCTGAGGAACACCTTTGCCCGAGCTCTGCCTTATCAGGGAAAAGTAAACATGTCGTGCCACTGACGGAATGTCATGTCAGGGATTATTGTTACACTGTTTCAGTCGTGCACACGATATCTGTCACTGAACTCAAGAACAATTAAAAAAAAACTAGTTTGATTGTTTGGCCTTTTTGGTTGATTGTATTCAGATTTTTTCAGCTGAGTGAAGTTTTTTTTCCTTAAACACCACCGTTTGTGATGATGACCTCGAATACGAAACCTATACATGATAGCGCTAACTCGCTGTGCAAAGTGGAGCCTGCTGAGTGCGTCCATGTCTGTTCACATGTTTCACTCCAATTCGCCATGAGGAAATTAACGACTTCGACCGTGCGCGGCGGTTACTTGACCGGACTGTCGTGAACCATACGGAATTGTCCTTTGCAACTTGCCAATCCTCTGTTGAGCCTTCTCATTTTGAAGACTTCGTTTGCACAAAGTTAAAAAGCTATCACTTTGAAACTCTTTGTATGTGCTCTAGAAGGCTTAAACCGAATAAAACATCACAGAATCATGAAAAGAAATGCTACATAATATGAAATTTAGCCTCAAAGTGGTTGCTTTGAAGGTAAATTATTCCCATTTTCAATCGATCTCTTGGTCTTTTTTCCACTAAATTTCTCAATTTAAGAAGTTTCCCAGAACAATAAGACACTTCATACGACAGGCCAGAACCTCAACTACACAATACAATCAGTTCTATATAGCTTGATTTTTTTATTCAACTTTCATGACTTATGATATGACTTTCATAATACTTCCGGGCAGTGCAATCTTCGTGTTTACATGCACATAACCGATCCAGCCACGTACCGAGCACGGTACACTGCAGCCAGCTACACGCAAATTACCACGTCGTTTGCATGTACACCGTGACGGAAATTCTCGTCGGAGCCAGTGTGCACGTTCATGTGGTTCATCCATGTATAGTACATGTACATGTAAATTTTCATTTCCTGGCAATGTTATAGTGACAGATAGATCTCGGTTCCAATAATACAATGATAATTTTAATAATAATAATAAAATGTTAACTTACTGTACTTTTGTGTTCGTCTTTCGCTCCCGAGTCACTGAATTCTTACGCTCGCAAGGCCGTAAGATTATGCGGGATGAACAGAATCGGTACTGAGATAGGTCGATATGCAAACGCGTCCAGTCGGGAAGAGAAAAAATCTAGCAGAAAGCCGTCACCAAATCTAAAACCTTCAAACCATTCTCCACAACAGTCCACTTCTGAAAACTTCAGGAAAACTTCGAATTCTTTGTTTCGAGCCTTCAAAAATCGCATTAAAACCGCTTACGAAAAGAGCTTTTGACAAAAGTCACTAATTTTGACCTCTCTGGTACTATTTCTCAATTTTATTTTCACAAAACACGTTAGGAAAAAGCCTTATCTTACCATGAAAATATTTCGGTCATGAATTTTTATTTCCAAAAAGTGAAAATAAGACGTAACTTTCATGAAATGAAACAGCTACTTGCCTGGCACGAATTCTCATGGCCCTCATAACGTATGCAAATGTCCCTAAAAATGGGACATGGGCAGTTAATAATTTCCCTCTGAAACATACGTGTGTTGTGCACAAACCCTTTGGACAAGTCAGAATTTTGTAATGAAACCGCCATTGCCAAACGTTAACAGACCCGAAGCGAAGTGCCATGCTTCACGCTCAAGTACTTGTTATATTGAACCAGTTAACAGACCAGAAGCGAAGTGCCATGCTTTACGCTCAAGTACTTGTTATATTGAACCAGTTAACAGACCAGAAGCGAAGTGCCATGCTTCACGCTCAATTACTTGTGATATTGAACCCCCTAAAAGCAGCATTTCTTTTTAAAATGTTCAAGTTTCGGACGCCAGTTTGTTTTCAGTAGATTTGACGAGTGGCGTCGCATGCCGTCTCACTCATGAATTTATTAAGATTTTCAGTAAGTCAACCATTTGCTTTTACTACACGAGGAGGATGGCCTTGGTCTGGTCCAAAGGAGCGAACCCACGTGACAACTTTCAAACTGTTAATAAGGACTGTCTGACAATCCATTAACTCTGCTTTACAATTATAGTAGCACTTTATTGGAATAGAAATACAGACCAAATCCTAAGTTGTTTTTTCTTGATTATATGAAGATCTCGCATTTTACTGCATGGGAACATTTACTGAGAGGAGAGCTGATGGTACTTAATTTGACCGTGTGAACCGTTTTGTCCTGTGATATTTGTACTTTGACAGCGGGGATAATTGTCTCTGCTTCTTTAGGTGCCTGATCTCTTGTACAAAATCATCACAGCACAGGCTTCATCAGGCCATTATTTAGAGAGAGTCTCAGTGAAGCATCTTCCTATATAAAAATAGAAAGCATGACTTTATCCCACACGATTGCTCGAAATTGTTTAAAACTGCTTTGAAAAGGTACGATATTTCTTCTCCTCTTCGTGGTTGAAGGCTGCGCTGGAAAGCGCAGGGACGCCCTCTTTGTCGCGATCCACTTCATCAAGTTAGATCACGGACTCGCTAGAGACATTCCCAGTCATACACTTGCACCTATGTGTCAGACACAAAACTTAGTATCACTCTCCAAACACGGTTCGCTCAAGGAACCTTATAACTGAGGCTTCAATATGGGCAAGTGGTGTATTCGACATTATCAACAAAAATATGTGTAAAATTTTTAACTGGCTGTTGAACGCTATAACGGGGCATCCTAAATGAGCCAGTTTGGTATTTCAAAAATCTAAATCATGCGAATAGGTGTAAGGCTGCAATATATTACGAAGGCAGCTATAAGCATTTATATGTCTGTGGCATGAGCGAACATGACCGAACATGAGCGATGTAATGTAGTCTTTGCGTCTGTGCCAGACGTGCGCGTGAGCCCGCTCGAAACACTTCCAACGAGCCCGTCTCTTCTTTGCCGATGAGGGTGCACTTCAACTTCTGGCGAACAGTGAAGTAGCTCATTTTTTATGCCACCATTTCCAATTTTATTATTTTTTTAAAGCCTCTTTACGCTTTTGAAGATTAAGATTTGTTTTCACGCAAATGTCTGTTTCCAGACAAAAATACCGTGGTTTATTTTCAGTAGGCTAACCTAAATAGCAATTATTGCAAACTAGCTGTTGCCACTTACTTTCCCACTGCCTCAGCCTCCTCCAGCGTCTGGGGCAGTTTGCGTCCTTTTGTCTCCGGCAAGAAGAACACCAATATTCCCGCCACAATCGCGCTGGACCCAAACACGATTGACGGCACATTGCGCCCCAACAGCAGGACGAGAGGAGAGATGATGCCACCGATGCGAGACGACACGGAACACATACCAATGCCAATGGCCCTTGCACCAGAAAGAAATGTAAAATCTTCCTCTTGAGACTTAGCAATGAAGCAGATCCGAGTTAATAGACGGTACTTTTTAACGGATGTAACTAATAATGCAGATAAGCGGGAAGCCCAGACTCTATTCTGGCTGTTATATAATAACACACTGCCACTGGACATTCCAATAGCCCCCTATAATGGCTGAAAGTGCTGTACTGGGTTTTGCACGGAGTGACTGTCACGGAACAATGGCTCCGCATAATGGCTATCACAAACCTGACTGCCATTGGTGGGTCACCAAATTTGTCCATTCTGATAGTGCCACGCGTACGGCTCCCTTTGGATACCGCACGGTCTGAATAATCGGCCTCAAGCAGAAGCACCCCCTCTTTGGTTGAAAAGAACCATGGTGTTCATTCTGTTGTTGAGATGCGACGCGTGCATTTCCCAGTCGTTCGTGAACCAGCGAAGTTCAATTCTGACCAAAGGAGCCTCCATTGCTAAGAAAATTGCGCCCTCTTGGTCCAGCTTGAGGCTCATTATTACACTACTGCGGTTCACTGAATGGTACTAATCCGGTTCCGAGATTAGACAGTTAAAAAAAAAATCACGTAAATAGAACAGGAGAAATTCCGCTTCCGAACGTATTGTGAAACTGGCCGAACTTTTCCGAACCAATTTGGTTCGGGGACTATTGTCAATATTCGGGTGTGTAGGACCTATAAATGGCTTCTCTTGGTAACCTTCCTCACATGCATTACAACTCTAAAGGCTTCCTCAATATTTGCATTCCACCTTTTCACAAGTTTGATTCTGCGCTGACTGTTCAAAAAGGTAACCGACATGTGTACGATGCATCTAGGACCCCTAGACATGAGCTCACAGGTTATTTCAGAAACGGGTGTCTCCTTGATACGGCAGGGACCTGGCCTATGGGGCTTACCTAATAGGTGTTGGGAACAGCTCGCTGGAGTACAGGTATATTATACTAAACGTGGCAGAGATACAGAATTTGCCCATCATGGACACCACAGTCCGCCAGATTCCAATGGCTGGTGGGAAATAACACACAATAAATAACACACATTTGTGTATGCATTGTTTGTCACAAATACACAAAATCCTTGTACTATAGTCAACACCTTTTGTCAGTATCAGTTCGGGCAGTTCATTCTTATTTTGTCGAGCAGGGCAGAGCAATATTGCAGTGTATGCGATGAGCGTTTGCCGTTTATTTCAACAGGCTGTAGCAGACAAATTCAGTGACTGATGCTGATTTTATTTTGGCCCCGATAAAATGTTTTGTTTTGTACAGGGTATATTCAATAGGAACTTTGACACAGCTTTCAGCGCTGTAGACTTTGCCTCTGTAGGCCGTTATTTTAGGAAATTATTTTATGAAAATGTCCTACTGAGGACGCTTCTTACGAATGAAGATGGCTATTAAGCAAGCGACGCCACCAATAAGCTCCAGCACCACGGTGTTCCATTTCCGGCCGAACCGCTCCACGCCAAAAGCGGCGTACATTAGTGCTGGGATCTCCACGGCGCCGGACACGAAGAAAGCCCAGTAGTCGTCCACGCCGAGATCGCCGGTGCTCTGCGACAGGCCATAGTACACCAGACTGTTGACCAACCTGAGAGATGCACGACACATTGATACCAAATTTAACGAGTTCACTGGTAACCAACGCCAGTTTGCAGAAGGAATCAGGTTTGTATGCACAACAAAACACTGCAATGGAACAAAATTTGCATCTTCGGCTGTCATGCCCCTACCAGTTAAACTGCATGTTGATTGTCTTGGCCGCCATGTTGGGAGTCCTGTACAAGTCAATGAGGGACGGAGGTAGACCTGACTCCTTGAATTCCTGCATTTCAACCTACAATTATGCAATGTTCACTGAATTATATTGTTTGGTTCTCATTAGTTGATGGTGTTGCAGTTCATTTCTTACAACTTGAAAGTGGCTCGCGGCTGAGCAGCTTTTGGTTTTTAATAAATGATTCGGTTGCCAAAAGGCAACACTGATTGAAGTGAATAAACATGTCCATTAAAAGATCTCAGTAACATCCCACCTACCATTTCCTCTCGTGTATCCTCTTTATCAAACAGAACATCCGGCAAGGTCTTCTTATTGAACTTGGCCACTCTCCTGACAACCACGTCAGCTTCCTCCAGCTTGCCCTTGGACACCAGCCAACCGATGGATTCCTGCACAAAACTGCACACATAGGCCTGTACCAAAATAACTTCGATAGAAATATACACGGGGTCCTAAAGTGTGGAGGGCAGGGGAGGCGGGTTCCAGACTCCGATATTGCCTAGGCTACTTAATGCCATGACTCCGGCCATAAACAGTAAAGCTATAAAGTCAGCATACTTACGGCAAAGGGAAAAGTAGAGGAATCGTCACGAGTGACATAATTAAACAAAGAGGGCGCCACTCTCTGACGTGCATGGCCGCTGTTGCCAGAAAGAGGTACCCAACAGCGAAGGCTATGTCGAATAACACGGTCACGGCTGTGCGCCAAGACTTGGGGACGTTCTCAATCACTGAAAAAGGCAAAAGGGCATAGTATACAATCCCTTATGTGGAAAAGTGGTTTCAGTCATACGACGTGAATGGGGGTTTGGAGTCAGACGGACGCGGTTATACGCTGTCAACTCATTGAAATGTCTGGAGCTGACAAAACTCGGCGCCTTCTTTTCACCAACGTGGTAGAAGCTTGGCTCAAGCCCTTTAGCAAACCCCAAAAGCCTGCTAAAATATAGCACTGGTAGGACGTCAAGCTGTGTGGGCCGAAAATTTAGGTAGGTGACATTGATACATGCCAACAATAGAAAAATACATATCACCAAGTAGAATAATACATTGAAAAGGAAAGGGTGAAATCAATAATTCCTCTCACCTAAGACATATGCGGAAAGCCAGGCGCCGTAGGAACCGAATCCAGACAGAAAACGGAACGCCATGTACATGTAGACATTAACCGAAAAGGAAGTGACAATGAAACTAGCTGCCCAGAGTAGCATAGAGACCGACAGAGCTTTCTTGCGACCAAACCTAATTGGTATTACAGAAACAAGCAAAGAACTTACATGTGGCAGATACAATACTTCCTTGATGTGATTTAATTTGTGTCATGTGAAATACGATTAAAAACGCAAAAAAAATATCGATGGGACAAGATATCCACTTCCATTTGCGTACGACTTTAAAATGACGGGATTTTCTATTTTCTTATCAATCCATCCATTGATCCGTGACTTCAGGTCCCCCAAAAACACACAACCGCTTTCATGATCCTCGTCGGATATTATCTTCGATCAGGATCCCTGATCCTCTTCCGAAAAAAGGAGATCAAATGCGGTGTATACGCTACCCAATGGTACAGTGCAGGATAACCGGACTAGTGAACATCTTATGCTATTCTTACCAGTCTGAGAGCGTTCCTGCAATGATCGAGGACACCAGAACGCCCACGAAAAAGATTGACTGACTGAAGCTGGGTAAATCTTTGTCCTCGCACACAAGGTCAAACTGATGCATAGCAAGTAACAAGGAAAACATGTTCGTGTAAGTTCAGTGCTTGTGCCGAGACATGGAATTTGTAATTTCTGTGCAGTGGCAACTTACACAGAAGAAAGATTTAACCGCGAATTACGGGCCCACAGATGGCCAGATAATACGGATAATGTCACTGCTTTCTTGAGAAATGTAATTTTGTTTCCAGTTTCTTGGTTTTTGTGAGAACAATTTACTAATAAAAAAAATGAAAGTCGAGGGTATGTGGGTCCAAACCGATGTCAATCATTACCCTTAAATTTCCTTCACTATAAACTGTAGGCTATTTATTGTGTATTCATCAAAACCACATTGTTATAAAATAAGAAGCTAGCATTTTACCTTGTAGTCCTTTATTTTTGAAAACCCGATCAGCAGAAAATCTGACCTTGCTAGCTATTTCTACGTACTGAAGTTGGAATTTAAACTTACCTCTGAGTTAATTGTTGTCTTGTACTGCGACGTGTCGTAAACCCACCCACTTTTGCAGAGCACGGCAGAGTAAGTGAGGTTCTCGGCGTCACCAAGTGGTAGGTAGGGATCAAAGACGTACCCATCTGGCAAATCCCATTGCTCGCAGTTGGAGTACGGATATATGCTTGACTCGTTTTCCGAAGGAGGAAGGAACATGGCCTTCTTGACCTCGGTGCAATTGTCTTGGAACTCCGGCCAGTTGGAGCAGTTCTCGTGTTGTAAAACTGAGCACCAGTGGTCGGTCTCGGCAGCGAAAAATCCGTGGCTAAGAGTCACAAAACAGACCATAGTGCTTACAGTGGACACGTACACAATCAACAAGATCTGGTACCGGCCGAAATTGCCCAGCAGGCTAGTGATTTCTTCGAGCTTCATATTTTCTAGGCTCTCGGCTACCAAAAATCAACCAATTTCTTCGTCGACAAAGTGAACTTCAAGGATGTGCTACTCCTTTTTCTATGGGAGGAAAATGGGAAACGAACACCGTACACTTTGTCAGTGCTTGATTGCCAGACTGATCTCTTCTCATTGTATCTCTAAAGAGCCACGGATCAGATTTGTGCACACGGTGCGGCGGTAACTGGGTAGCAAGGTTCAAGTCCACTGAAAATGCCCTTTCGAACTGCATTTAGGGTACATTTAATGGCCCTTAGCCAAGTAGCAAGTGGAACCCCGTACAGGAACTTCAAACTTTGAAAGACCCCTGGCTCTGTTTCTTACCAATTGATTTACTTTGGAAGTTACAGAAGTAATCTTTTTCTTCTGTTACTGACAGAGGGAATGTCATCTAGTGAGCAGCTTTTAACTTCCACTCTTTGGCACCCTATTAAAACAAGTCAATGAACTTTTCGCACCCTGACGGTCCTGCTGATGACTAAAAGAATATCTTGTTCAAGGGTCTAATGGACGCAAAACCTGGCCTATATATTCCTACCACTCCCCCTAGAGTGTAGGCGCCAACATTGATCGGAGTAACAGGTAATAGTGGGGTACAGCAACTGAGATGACCTTGTGTAATCATTTCCAAAGTAGACAAACATATACCAACTGATGTATACAGGCTAGCATGGTAGCCATCTTGCAGGGCAGAGTTTCTGTTCCACAGGGAACCTCCTTTGTGCATATCCTGTGGAACAAAACCACTGGCCTGCAAGATGGCTGCCACGCAAACACTCTAAACGTATAATGGTAACAACACTGAAGGATTGGGGAAAGTGGCTTCAATGATCGCTATATTTGACCGCTGGAAAGGGAAATCGGAATGGAAAAGCGAAATAACATTTAGTCTGTAACCCATCACCTTTTCAGCAAAGTTCTGACTAAACTCGGATCCGCCCGCTTAAATCAACAGCCTGGTTGCCGGGAATGAACTCCCATACAGAAAGGCCTAATATGGGCGAGTCACTAGAGTGCACCTCCAAAAGTTTGCAACGCGCTGGCCAATCACGATGCGCAAACTCTGTTTACCCAATGTGCGTTCGGAAAGGGTCAACAGTTTCACGCGTTGTGATTGGTCAACGCTTTGCAAACTCTTGGAGGCGCACTATTGTTAATCGCCCGTATTGCCTTTGTGACTTGGCTTAAGACTGGATGACTTGTGGCCGAGTTGCGATCGAGAACTGACAACACCACGGATCAATATCCACATCAATAGTGCAAAACCCGGGGGATGGGGTCCCCCACTTTTTGATTGGAAGAAAAATAAAATTAAGGCTGGCAATGAAGGACTTTTCGGACTTCACAAGACTCAACATGTATTCATTACAGTGCTCAAAAAGGAGAGTAAAAAACCATAAACATGCTGTTAGGATCTGTAGGAGTGTCATATTTATCATAGATGTACCTCGGTGTTATGAATATCGGCCCCCAGTATCATATGGTGTCAGCAACCCCTTCGCCCGCTTTTCAAACTTTTATGGCCTGGCAAGTCATTCCCCCCCCCACACACAATTCCCCATCCCAAATTTCTGGTCCAAATGATCTACATTATTTAATGAAATGGTCACACAAGCCACACGTTTATATGGAGGATGACACTGTAGGTTTAAAGCTCACTAGATGAACATGCTTTTCACAATTCATAGCGATGTTTTACATACATTTTTCTTTTCTCCGATTCAATGTACTATGGCATCGTTTCCCCATGTTGACACAGGGCTGCAGCAAATGTGCCACTGGATTTATGAATTCAAGTGATGGACGATACCGTCACTCAATACACTGGCAACAAGAGACTAGTTAATTAAGAGCAGGCCCGATAAAAAAAGTTGATCCTTAATTGCTGTGACTTACTCTGTTTGTTAATGTTAAAAAGTCCAAGAGTAAGCAAATTGTTGTAACTGAGTGGATACCTTTGCCCAAGCTCTGCCTTATCATGAAAGTAAACATGTCATAGCACTAACGGAATGTAATTTTATGCGTTGAAAATATCATGACACCATTTTGATAGTGCACACGATATTTGCAAATGAGCTCAAGAACACAATGTCAAAGCATAATTTGTTAATTGGGCTTTTTTGGTCGATTGTATTCAGATTTGCTAGCCATTGGAGTTTTTTGGCTTAAGAGAAAGGTATGGCCTAATTTAATACATGTACATCGTGTTGTGATGGTGGCCCCAACATGAAACCCATAGTGTCATGAAAGAGCCATAAATCAAGTTGCTAACGCCCTGTGCAAAGTGGAGAGTTCAGGGGGAGTCCATGTTGCACAAACCTGTATCGAAAACTCGAAGATTTTGAAGGGCTATTTACCGGAGACTGATAAGCGAGCGTTCTGCTAATTCATGCGGTAATATCCACGAGCTACAAAGAAGCATGCACGTTGGCATGGCAGGCCTACAGTGGTATCCCTCTCCCTTAATTGAGTGCAGCTCATTTTGTCCATTTTCTCCCTTAAAACCGACAAAATGACACCACCATTGCCAAAAGTCTAGCCGACTACAAGTGTCACGTAATTATTGATGTCAAGTGCCTCAGTCTATCCTCAAGTATGTGTAAGTACGACCCATTAAAACAGTATTTCGTTCGAAAACGTTTGGCGTTTCTGACGCCAGTTTGTGTTTATATTTTGACAAGTGACGTCACGCACCCCTTCAACAATGCGATTTTCATCAACTAAGGCCCACTTAAGACGTCGAAATTACGCCGTGACTGATTCAAATTATGGTACAAAATTGTACGGAAAGTCGATGTTTTATGCACTAACTTCTGTCGCTTTTATGTCCATTGCCATTATTGTAACTAAACTAGGTACACGGACGTATATAAAAAAATCTTGACTCGCAATGCCCTTAATCAGCTTATAGAGATCATTGAATCCACTAGCAGCCATTTTACCGAGCCGAATACAAAGCTTTCCTGGCATTGCCCGCCTTTGTTCTTCCTGACGTCAATAGAAGGGAGCAACCCACGCATTTGTATTCGGCTCGGTATTAAAATGGCTGCTGGTTGGCTTCCTTTTCATACAAAGGTGTTGCAAGTCCAGGTTTTTTTTTATAAACGTCCGCGATTAGGTTCAGCAGAAGTTTGACGTTCCAAAGCATAGTGGCCAAAGTCAACCATCCTCTTTTACTGCGTCCAAAGTCCTCAACGAAGAGTAGGTCTTGAGTGAATCCACGTGAAAACTCCCAAATGAGGACATCCCGTTAATTTTGCATTAAAATGATACTACTGAATTGAAACAGAAACTGCATTGCGTAAATTGCATTCTATGAAATTCCTGATTACAGGTTCATCTATCAATACAATGTCAGATTTACTGCATGGAAACAAAGGAGAGGAGGCAAGATACAACTTTTCTTTAATGTGGGTTTTATTTGGAATTTTGATAAATACAATTTTATGAAAAGAAACGTGATTATACCTTTAGGTGTGGTGTGATGATCTCACAGAGACAGAACGGTCGAAGCCAACTGTTTTGTCCGGTGGTGCGTGTGCTTATGACTGCCTGAACATTGTCTATACTCTCCTTCAAATGCTCGATCACGAATATAGGCTAATTACATCATGAATTTGCACTTTCAGCGGAACAGTAATTATATGTTTGTACAGCATTAACCACAGCATAGACTGCCTGGATCGTCGGTCCACGTGTGTATATCGAGAGATTCTCCGGTCGTGCATCTTTCTATAGTAATCTGGTCATATAATCCCGCAACAAGGTTATCAATTGCAAAATACTCCAACTTTGCTGCTCGAAATTGTTTGCTGAAGCCGTCTGTTTACTGTTGTATCAAACAAAACACTTTTCAGTCAGAATTTTTTCTCGGCAACATCAACCAGATTTTGAAATCATTAACGGAAATGCTCTGAAACTTGTCGCGGCAGGTGTACACATCATTGTTATGTATGTGAAGACTCCCGGTGCCTCCGCGTGAACTGCTGCGAAAAGTCGCGATATTTCCTCTCCTCTCCGTGGTCGAAGGCTGCGTTGGAAATCGCAAAGACGCCCTGCTCTTTGTCGCGACCTACGTCATCAAGTTCGACCACAGACTCGTTGGAGACATTCCCGGTCATACACTTACACCTGATGTCGGATATCAATCTTTATATCACTTTCCGGAAACAGTTTGTTGAAGGAATCGAAAACCCACGATTATGTACAAATGGTGCATCAATTCGACATATCAATAAAAACGATCTATGTAAAAATATTAACTGGCCATTGAAGGTCAAGCTCCCAGATTAAGAGGGAGGCTGAACGGGATAACTTGACTGAGCCAGTCCGAGATTTTAAATTGGCAAGGTCAATCGACAGCAAAGCACGCGCGTGAGTCGGTGCATGGCTGCCCTGATAGGGCAGACCTCGCACGTGAGTACCTCACATGTATCATGAATGACCTCGGGCGTGCTTACATTGGGCATGCGCTGTTGGAATACCTAATTGGCTCACTGTCACGCTATTATTTCCAGTTTCATGTCTTATTTAAAATCCGAGTAGCTAAGGCGTCTTTTTGGTAAAATTTTGCTCCACTTGTACCGGCCTATGCTGAGAGAAAATACGATAGAATTGGATTAACAGCAATAATTATAAACCAAATGTCGACACTTACTTTCCCACTGCCTCTGCCTCCTCCAGTGTCTGGGGCAGTTTGCGTCCTTTTGTCTCCGGCAAGAAGAACACCAGTATTCCCGCCACAATCGCACTGGATCCGAACACGATTGACGGCACATTGCGCCCCAACAGCAGGACGAGAGGAGAGATGATGCCACCGATGCGAGACGACACGGAACACATACCAATGCCAATGGCCCTTGGAAAAGAAATGAATTTAAAAACTTTCCCGTTGAGACTTAGGGTTTAAGGAGACCCGATAGAGATACGTTGCCCTTTTAATGGTGCATGCAGGCATGGGTGCTGCCAGGATTTTTCCGGGGGGGGGGGCAACACCGCTTCCATTGCGACGCCCATGGGTGCAGGTTATCCTGCCCGTTGTTTGATAACCTTCATGACGTATACCCCATTCAGCAATGTTTCACTGGATATTCCCGATGGCCTCCATTTGTGGCTGAAAGCCTTGTATTGAATTGTAGACAGGGCGACTGTCACGGAACAGTGCTCCGCAGATTGGTCATCACAATGCTAGGCCTAACAGCAAATAGCCATTTGCGGGATAAATTTGAATAAAATCTCGTCCACTGAGTTCTTTAAATTCACGTGAAACATAACAGCTTGAATTCTCCATACTAAAACCACTGTTGCTATACCTCGTCATATGCAGCAAGGTATGAGATGGAGAGAACCCCCCCTGCTTTGTGTTGGTCATTGTCTCGCAGGAATCTATGGAACTCCTTTCAGACATCTTGGGGGATGTGTTAAGTAACAATAGTCTGGAATGTGTACAGGGATTGGACATGTTGGGGGGTACCCCTCGGTCTCATTTCTTGCCGGGTATAAGGTGTAGCTACAGTATCTTTAGTCTGGGGAATTCAAATTGTTACTTTTTGTGCAATCAGATAACACAGTGTACCAGATTTTATTCAAATTTAACTCGCAAGTGGCTTTTTGACGGGGGCTTTTGAGACCAACTAGCGATATGAAGCGTTACCATGCTCACCGAATCTCCCATTGCATTACCACATAATAATCAACTCGCCACGACGCTTCAGTGTACCCACCTGACAGGTGTTGGGAACAGCTCGCTGGAATACAGGTATATTATACCAAATGTGGCAGAGATACAGAATTTGCCAATCATCGACACCACCGTCCGCCAGATCCCAATGGCTGGTGGGACAAAACACATCAAGGTGAATCTCTACAAATTGCTGTGATCGGCCAAATGCACGAAACATTGCCCAGTGTGTCCCATTTTTGGCACCCGTTTTTGGACAGAAGGTGTGGCCTTTTAGGCCCCTATTTCATGAAATTTTGTAAGAATGCATAGGCAATTCTTACGAATGAAGATGGCTACCAAGCAAGCGACGCCGCCGATGAGCTCCAGCACCACGGTATTCCATTTCCGGCCGAACCGTTCCGCGCCAAAAGCCGCGTACCCCAGGGCCGGGATCTCCACTGCGCCGGACACAAAGAAAGCCCAGTAGTCGTCCACACCGAGATCGCCGGTGCTCTGCGACAGGCCGTAGTACACCAGACTGTTGACCAACCTGGGAATTGCATGGCACTTCAATGCTAATTTCAATTGTTCATTGAGCTCACTAGTAACCAACGCCTGTTTGCAATATTAAGGGAATCAGATCTGTATGCACAGGGAAATGCTGCGACGGAGCATTATTCGAATCTTGTACTCTCATGTACCTACCAGTTATATTGCATGTTGATTGTCTTGACCGCCATGTTGGGAGTCCTGTACAAATCAATGAAGGACGGAGGTATTGCCGACTCCCTAGATTCCTGCCATTCGAACACACATGTAATGTTCCACTAAGTTACATTATTTGTGTCCCATTTGCTGGTGACGAAACTTTAGGATTTAATACTTAAGTTGTCAAAGGCAGCATTTATATGAAAAGCATGTATGCATTGCGTTGCTATGGTCATTTGAAATCTCAGTAATATCCCATTTACCATTTCGTTTTGATCATCCTCTTTATCGAAAAGAACATCCGGCAAGGTCTTCTTATTGAACTTGGCCATTCTCCTGATAACCGCGTCAGCTTCCTCCAGCTTGCCCTTGGACACCAGCCAACTGATAGATTCCTTCACAAAACTAAAAAGACAGTACGAAAGATAAGTTAACATGGTGTCCAAAAAGTGTGGAGGGCCGGGGAGGCGGATTCCAGACTGGGCTAATTAATGCCATGGCTCATCAGGCTGTCAACAGTTTTGCTACGAAGTTGGCATACTCACGGCAACGGAAAAAGCAGGGGAATCGTCGCGAGGGACATAATCAGACAAAGAGGGCGCCACTCTCTGACGTACATGGCCGCTGTTGCCAGGAAGAAATACCCAATAGCGTTGGCCGTGGCAAATAACATAGTTATAGCTGTGCGCCAAGACATGGCGACGTTCTCGATTGCTGAAAAAGGTGTGGAAGCATGGTACAATGAAAACCTTCATGAAAAAAAATAATTGGTTCATTGAAATGATGTGAATGGAGGCCTGGGTTGTTTCGCCACACCGACACATGTCAAATCTTAGAATGTCAGGAAATGACGAGCTTCCGGCCTTCTGTTCACCAATCTAGTAGGAACCTGGTTTGAACCCAACAGCAAGCATGATTACTTTTTTCTTACAACTTCTCAAGAAGTACCGAGTGTTATTAAATTACTTTTAGGCCACGGGCAAACACCCACCAACTGAATTATGACACCTCACCAGATTCCACGAATTAAAAATTTTGGTCGGTAACGTAAAAATGATAACAAATATCAACCCAAATGAACTTCACTGAAATGGAAAGAGTGAAAAACATAATATATCTTACCCAAGACATATGCGGAAAGCCAGGCACCGTACGAACCGAATCCAGATATAAAACGGAGTGCCATATACATATGAATATTGACGGAAAAGGTAGTGACGACAAAACTGGCCGCCCAGAGTAGCAAGGAGATTGCCAGCGCTTTTTTGCGACCAATCCTATATTGTAACAACAGAACAAGGATAATATAAGACACATATTACAATGAATTGATGTGCTTTAATTTGCATGATGAATTTCAGATTACAAAGCTAAAATTAAAGTCGTAATCTTAGGATATTCATTCGAAAAGTAATACTGTTGTTATTCTTTTTAAAAGCTTCGTTTGCCATCGATCTCATCCAATTATGACGTGGTCATGATAAGTTTTGGTTGAGATTATGGTAAATGGTCTTGTAATGGTATCACAACACGGGAGTGGTGGAGACCGTATGTTGTTCTTACCAGTCTGAGAGGGTCCCTACAATGAACGAGGACACCAGAAAGCCCACAAAGTAGATTACTTGACTGTAGCTGGGTAAATCTTTGTCTTTGCACACAAGGTCAAACTGGTCACAGAAAATAACAAGGAAACCATTTTTGTGTACGTTAAGCCCTTTCGACAAAAATTAGATCAATAGAGGGATTTCACATTAGCGTTGTCTGCGCATATCCGCATCGAAACCTGTTGTTGTTTTGTTTTAATGGCGCTTTCAACAACTCGGTGCGCAGAGCGACGCTAAAATCGTCGTATTGGGATTCATCTGTAGTTCTCTGGATGCAGTGGCGGGTGACACAGAAGACAGCTTCAACAGTGCGCATAATGCATGGCATGCTGGTGTCTGCAATCTCATTTTGTCTCGAGTACTAGCCCCACACGTAGGGCTGTGGTGGCTCTCTTTTACAACCTGTTTCTTCTCTGTCGCCACCACAGCCCTACTTCAAGGCATGTCTTAAATGCCTGAAATCCAAACTGCAGGATTGTCACAAACCTTGAATCCTCATATATTCCAAAATGAGAATGACTCACAATTTTACTTACACCGACGTATTCCTCAGAGTCCGGACGTTTATATGAGCACCCTAAAGCTTTCCCAAACCGTATATTTTCCGATGTATGGCGCCTTGAAAACCTGGCCTGTGATATTTATATGCTGACTGTGGGCGGCACCATTTTGAAAACGAAAGCAGCGCTTCTTGAGTCGGATTTCAAGTCACCTGCTTCTGAAACAGACTCAACGTTTAAGACCAGCCAAGCAAATATTTATTCCCACTCATAAATACCCCTTTTAGTCAGAGAGTCAAAAGAAGTCAATATATAACGGATTTCCAACGATTTGGGTATAAAATTTTACTTCCATTTTCCCGAACACCCACGCCCATTTTATTTTATATTTGTCCAAAAGAACCTCCTTATATGGACTTGTCGCGCGCGTGGCGAGCTGCGTGCACAAGGATTCTTGACCAACCCATGAAACTGTCCCGTATCCAGATGCCAGAGCGTGGTTTAAGCAGCGGGCGTTATCACTTCTCACGGGGCATGATCGAATGATGACGCGGTCATGTTGCACGTTGTTGAATAGGGAGACTGAGGTATTTATGAATACCTAACAAAATAAAGAAAAATCGATCATATATAGGGCTAAACCAAAATGACAATCACCATCCATAAACTCCACTTATTATAACGTGTATAAAGTATAGTTGGAGTCACCAAGACCTCGTTGCTACGTTTAGAAAAAAGCCTCATTTCAATCCTATGTTTTGCAAACCTGATCAGCAACAGAGAACAGTCTCAGCCTTCTGGTTATCGCCAGGTGTTCACTTTGAAGTGTAAACCTACCTCTGATATGATTGTAGTCTTGTACTGCGATGTATCGTACATCCATTCACCTTTGCAGGGCACGGCAGAGTAATTGAAATTGTCGACGTCACCGAGTGGCGTGTATGGATCAAACACGTACCCATCTGGCAAGTCCCATTGTTTGCAGTTGGAGTAGGGATATATGCTTGACTCGTCCTCGGAAGGAGGAAGGAACAAAGCTCTCTTGACCTCGGTGCAGTTTCTTTGGAACACCGGCCAGCTGGAGCAGTTCTCGTGGGGTAAGACTGAGCACCAGTGGTCGGTCCCGGCAGCGAAAAACCCATGACCGAAAGTCACATAACAGCCTATGTTGCTTACAAAGTACACGTACACGATCAGAAAGATCTGGTACCGGCCAAAACTGCCGAGCAGGGCGGTGATTTCTTCGAGCTTCATGTTTTGTGGGGTCCTCAGCTACCAGAAACCAGTCAGTGACGAATCAGTGACGGCTACAACCTCAGGCTTAAAAAACGGGGAATTGCTGTTTTTAGAATGCGCAGGGCAACCTACTTACACTCCGTCAATGTCTGATTGCCAGAGTGCTCTGAAGATATCTCTCAGGGAGCACAGATCAGATCTGTGCTGACAGGGTCCAGCGATAACCGAGTAGCAAAGGTTCGAATCTGACGAAAACGTCTCATCAAACCGCCATTTACACTACCGATAATCGCTCTCGCACAACTACCATGCAGGCAGACTTCCATGCAGGGACAACTTCAAGCCCCCCCCCCCACCACTCAGCCCAATTGCTATAAATTGTTGCTTGAAAAGCTTTATTTAGTTTGGCCTGCCGTTTGGAGTGACTCGACTCTCACGATCCGAGCGATCCTTTGAGCGATCCTTTGATGAATTCTTTCCTTCTACATGACTCCCAGTGCACACTTTTTGGTCACCGCGAAGCTGAAGTTTTCGATCAATCAAACTACCGTAAAACGTGTAAAATGTTTTGAACAAGTTACAGAGCGGATAGGCGATTTTTTGTGTGGGTGGGTGTGTATCCATATACATGTAGCAAGAGTCTCTGCGTTACACACACTGGCCTCAAGAGGCGGGCGTTTTGAATGACTGGATCTTTCTTATGTTCTCCGGATTTTTCTGGCACTCTCAGTCTATTTTTGGAAGCTTAGGTAAATGTTATAAATTTCTAGGAACTTAGAATTCAGATATTTCTGGATAATACGAGTGCAGGACTATCCGCCTCGAGAAGAAGCACCCCCTCATGGGTTTAAAGAGCTAAATTGGTCAGGAGTGTTCATTTGCTGGTTGCAATGCGACCGTGACGTGTACATTTCAAAGTCCTTCGTGACCCAGCGAAGTTCAGTTCCGACCATGGGAACCCCGTTGCTAAGAAAAGAGGCTCATGGGACTAGTGGCGGACTATAAGCTGTCATTGCCAAATATTGTGAAGAAAGGTAAGCAATAGTGCAATCTTCACCCATAAAAAATACTGTCGAGCTGTAATTATCTTTCTGAAGTATGACATTTTAAAATCTTCACACACCACCTGATTCTTAGACGCCATATGTTTTCTGCATTAAATACTTGCCCTTTACCGATTAAGTATATTTCTTCATTTCTGATATAGGTAAAGGCATGGCACTTGTCTCGTTATAATTGCAATCTGTGGAAAATCTTTATCCTTATTTTCATTTTTTGATTCACTTAATAAAAAAGAAATATATCCCTTTATTCAGAAATCCCCCCTTTGGCATCATGCACAAATCAACGAAATAAACTTTTGAACTATCGAACTTTGACATTCACACTGCCCTCAAAAGCAGGCATCGACATAGATGGAAAACAACAGGTTATTGTGGGACGGCAATTTAGACCTTGTGTAATCATCTCTAAAAAATCTGTTTGTAGTCCATTAAAAAGAGACCTTTAAAATTGTCTAATGGTAATTGCTTAATGTAAAACCTAGTAACACTGATCGACTTCTGATTGTCGGGTCCCTTTATTCATGTTAATTGCATAAATCAGACGGCAGACGAGCTGTTCGTCGGTATTGCGCTCAGTCGTCGATACGTGTCGACTTAGCATCGTACTGCTGAGAAAAGTCACTTTTATTCTCCTCCTTGGAATCGAAGGCCAGGTTGGACAACGCGATGGCGCTGTCCTTGTACTTGTCGATCCCGTCCATTTCGACGACTGACTCACTGTCGACACCACTTTTCATGCAACGACACCTGGTGTAATTAATTGAAAACAACAACGTCAGGTTTATGCTTTCTCAGAATTGTTCCGAGTTTCAGGATTATTTGACTGAAAATTGTAGGATTTTAGAGATTGCACGAACCCAGGTTTAGAACCCTTGAGCACTTTGGACAAAAAGTCCAAGTGCAAATTTCACCGTTGAGCTGTTGAGGGCCCTTAGAAATCAGACAATTTGATCGTTGTCATTACAACCCACCTGCTGGATATTGATGGATTTTTCTCTCTCCCAAATTGCACCCCTGTCATTTGTAAAGGACCGGTTTACACTGTATGAAATTTCGGAATCTTGTGCCCTGCTGAATTTCAAAAAAAGTACCAGTGTTGGACTCGAGTCCATATACAAGTACTTTTACAAGTCCAGTCACAAGTCCCTTCACAAGGGCAGTCATAAGTAACAGGGTGAACAATGACAAAGGAATGCTTTTGTCACAGCTCATTTGAAATTTTTGTAAATTGGCTTGAGACAGAAAGATTTATGATGGACTTACAGGGACGTGCAGGGACTTGTGATAGACTTTTTTGGTGGACTTACAGGGACTTGCAGGGACTTGTGATGGACTCGAACAAAAAATACGACTATCTGATCACAACTCAGCACCCATTATTACCCGTTTGATAAACTTACTTGCCCATCTCCTCTCCTTCCTCTAGCGTCTGAGGCAGCTTTTGACCTTTAGTCTCCGGCAAAAAGAAAACAAGAAGTCCCGCTAAAATGGCGCTGGAGCCAAACACAGCTGAAGAGGGACCGCTTCCCAACAACAGGATGAGGGGAGAGATGATGCCCCCGACACGAGACGACACGGAGCAGATACCTACTCCGGCAGTTCTACACCATAGAAGAAAGAAATGTTATAATTATGTTCAAAGCATGAGCTTTTTATCTTCAACACCCGATCAAGCAATCTAGCGACGATAATAAATGTGGCCTTTACAGCAAATCGTTATATTTAGGACCGTAGAAGGAAAATGTAATCGTATTATATAGTACACGTGCCACGCTAATAAGCAAAGCTCAACCTCGATAATACGTTAAAGTGAGCGTTTTACCCCGTAATGAAACAACCCCAAGGATACAAATTTGGGCAGAAATGTTTGGACAACCTTTCCAAATTGCCTTTGCGAGATCGATGGCATAAATCATTTGGTTTTGGTCAAAATGAATTTGAAAGCAGTCTAGGAGCTTACAGGAAAAATCTCTAGATTTGAAACGAATATTCACACAAGCTACCGTACGTAGTCGCTTCAAGAAGACGAACTGCATTTTTAGCACATGGACGATACTGTATAGTTTTTGATATGGCAAATATTGGCATCAGCTTTATTTAATATTGCCTCTGATTTTATGCAGCATAACATTAGTTCAAGTGGGCCAGAGTCATTCTGACAGAAAAGTCTTCACAAGAATCTCGAACTTCATAACAAGTAAAGCTTCGACCTTGTCATGCAGCTCCGATTTGAATGTTGAGCGAAAAAATAAAATGCTCAACACTCTTGATGTTTACGACAAGGGCTCAACGTATCAGAGAGTCTGAAGCTCACCTGACTGGTGTGGGGAACAGCTCAGACGAGTAGAGATAAATTGTACCAAATGTGACGGAGATGCAAAACTTGCCTAGCATTGACACCACGGTCCTCCATACACCGATAGCTGGACGGATGGAATTGATTGGTAAAAAATAAAAATCGGTGCCGCGCAGACAACATGATAGTTGCATAAATTGTAGAGTTTATGCAACATAAAACAACAACAAAAATGTGTAGTTTGCGCTTCAAACGACAGGTAGGTCTTATAGTTTCGTGTTTTGCTACATCAACCTTGTAGCTCTGCTTGACAGCAAATATTATATTTTATGTTGTACGTGTGATTCCTGTTTCGAAACGAAAATCCTATCAAGTAACAACAGAAATAACATTGTGTGGAGTGCGTTAGCTTCCTTGAGTAAAACTGAACCACTTTGTGTCTGAGGAGATACTATCAGCTTAAGAACAACTGGTAAGTTGTCAACCGCTGGGAACAACATGGAGGCTAATTCTACATCGGTCATAACCTTAGGCACTATAGTCCTTATCATTGCAATCTAGACTTGTGCCTAGAAGGTCATAGGAACCCAACATAAGAATTTTTCTATCTGACAATCAGGTCAGATGCTGTCAGATTTATGAGGCCATTAGACTTACGAATAAAGATCGTGGCCAAACAAGCCACGCCCCCGATCAATTCAAGCACTGCGAGGTTCCACTTTCTGCCGAACAGGTCCAGCCCAAACATGGCGTACAACTTGCCGGGAATCTCCACAGCGCCGGACAGGAAGAAAGCCCAGTATTCGTTCATGCCGAGATCGCCAGTGCTCTGCGACAGGCCGTAGTACACCAGACTGTTGACCAGCCTGGTGGAAAGGGAATGTCATACACAGCAAAGCGTGTATGAAAATATCTGAAAAGTAATTTTTTAATGTATCATCTATACAAACTCCAAACGATAATACTTGACTATGACAGACGAAAGCAGATGCAAAAGGCAGAAAGACCAGGGTGATTTAATAAAAAGAACTTTGATCAGGAAACAGTCGTCGACATCCACCGATGAACAGCTAGTGACTGTCTGCGATGGCTCATGTACTATCTACATAACCGGAGCTGTTTCTTGAATGTTTTAGACACGAAGATTCCTTCAAATAATTTCAAATCAAATTTAAAACTGGAAGTCCTTTGCAATAGTAATTGTACGTCGGAAAAATGAGTATTAGTGAATGGTTATATTTGTTTGTTTGGGTTTCTTTGCATGTTCAGCTCAATAAAACAGGCCTATAGCTGTGTATTTGCCGATTGTGTGACGCTTATCACTGTAAATAAATTTGAAGGCTGATATCCGATCATTATAGTTACCCGTTGTGTAAAACTTATCGTGAATCAAATAAACGCTGGATTCGAGAGCATTAAATTGCACAGCGATAACAAAGGGCAACCCCATAACAATAAAACGACAGGAGATATACGCAACACACATACCAGTTATACATCATGTTGATTGTCTTGACCGCCATGTTGGGAGTTTTTAACAGGTCGATTACCGATGGTGGCACGGTTGAATCGTTCGATCCCTTCATTCAAACAAATCGAAGAGCTGTTAGCCTCAAAAAGTGAGACTGAGTCAATTACGATTTCTGTCCTCCGATTTCTAAATACTATGATTTCAGATGAGTAGGTGCTCAATTTCTTCACTCGAAAGACATTCATATCGGTCCAAAGCAAATTATTGTTTGGCTATAGGCCTATTATAGAGAAAATCCTTGCACATGTTTTAGGCCTTTCTTTGCGCTTCTAAGACAGGACATTCGCAATGGGAATGAAACTCACCGTGTTTGCTTCTTCAAAATCGTCTTTTTCAAATAAGACATCGGGTAAAGTCTTCTCGTTCATCTTGGCCACCCGCCTGATGGCCGCTTCAGCTTTCTCAAACTTGCCCTTAGAAACCAACCAGACGACGGATTCCTCGACGAATCTGGAGAGAGTTGCAAAAACGTGATTTTTTTCACGATAAAACCTGCCCGAACGATTTTATCATTTGGATAATAAAGGTGAAGTGACTTTTCAATCATAATTTGGAACCATCACCCAAAGGATAGTAATCTATAAATTTCCCTGATTGCTTCAACCTCTTTCGCACACATTAGAAACTCTCTAGAAATTCTGTAATGGGAGTTGCCTCACTTTCACTTCAAAATGGCCAACGTGAATAGTAAAAGGTCGGCGAACTACTCACATAAGCGGGACGAACAAGGGAATCGTCGTCGAGGCCATGATCAGGCACAGAGTCCGCCATTCGTGGACGTGCATCGCTATGGGTGCCAACACGAAATACCCCAGGGCGAAGCACACGCTAAGTGTCAGAGAACCTCGGGTACGATAAGGCTTCCCAATAAGTTCAAGAACTGCAAAATCAGAAAATGAACTTGCTGGGATATCAGTGAATTTCAGACGCAAGAGGTGCAGCCATATTTTCGAAGAGCCATTGAAACAACAGGTATGCCCAATTTGAAAGTCATAGGAAAAAAAATTATTGCAAAGCACTTACCAAGCACGTAGATGGTAATGTAGGTGCCAATATTGCCGAAACCAGCGAGAAAACGAAAACCCATGTACATGTAGATGTTGACAGAAAACGTAGTGACAAGAGAACCGATTACGTATGAGATGAGACCCACAAAGAGCGCCTTCTTACGACCAATCCTTAGAGGGAAAAAAAGAGTTTAAATTTTTGGTTATTTTTTTTCTTTTGGACTTCTCCTTTGCTTCAGCCTTCCCATGTCTAATATTATTACAAGATAAAGAACTTTCTTTTGCTCCGTCACATGCGCAGCTTTTGAAGACCAAGACTATGGCGGGCCACGAGAAAAAAGAACAAATCACCAAGAGTGTGATATCCCGGGTTAATATTAACACATTACATAATAAATACCTCTCATAAAATACTGAGTACTTTATACCCATGTTAACACTAATGAAGTAAACTCTGCGCTTTGAGGCCCAAGTTGTTGAGAACCAGGGTTGAACGTTCAATTTGCTTCCCATGCAAACTGAAAGACAGATCTACCATCGGGTTGGGCTGAGTGATTAAAGGGTTACAGGTTGTGTTTATGGTCCTTTGTATATACACTGGAGAGCAAAAGAAACTCGCCACTTCTGGCAAAGGCCACACATAAAAATTCACTTCATAGAAATAAACAATTTTTGTACACAGGTATGCTGCAATACCCCTTACTAATCACATGCCCCAAAGGAAGTGATTATCTTTATAACAAAGAAGAAATTGACATTACTGTTGGGGTGTTACTGGACCGTGTGATCAACTCGACGACAACAGTGCTGTCGATAATACCTGCTCCCCGACGGGATAGGAAACAGATTCTGCCAGTGCGCCGTTTTCTCGGTTAGGCAGTTTGCTACGATCGTCTGCTTACCAATCAGACAGTGAGCCGCACACCAGCGATCCGACCAGGAAACCCACGAAGTAGATGGACTGCGCAAGGCTTGGCAGATTCTCTGTGTCGCACACCAGATCAAACTTCGACCGAGTAAGAAATTAAGCAGTGAGGGAATTGTAATGTAAAGAAGTGACATTTTCTATGAATGGTGAAAAAGCAAAAGAAGAATTAACAACGAAACAAAACTGCGTCCACAAAATACCTATTTTGTCTCTTCTTACTGTGCGTGTAGGCAATCGATCGTATTAATCTGGTGTAACTCTATAAATAGTGATCATATAAATGCACCAGCGAACAGTGACGGGCAAGTTCGAGCGACGACCATAGTTGAATATAGACTGACATGTCTAGTCGACCATTTGGGACTCAGGGGTATGGTTGCACCGCTGGTTACCAATAACATATCTCATTTATCATTACAGAGGGAACCATTCACATGAAAATAATTGCGCGAGATTTCAGTGACCTTGTACGCTACGAGAATCGCAGCATACGCTGAAATTTGAGTAACAATGATATATAAAAATAGGCTGACTGGGGTCGTTGGAGTGTAACTTAACAGTGCTTGCTGGCCTAACTATAGTTCGCGCCCGAACTTGCCCAGTGGTGCAGAGTATCTCATACAATTTCACCGTATCGAGTCGTCAAAATCCCCGTGTTGCGTCTTCTCACGGTGTCTATGAATAAGCCATCAAATTGATGCGACATAATGTGGGAAATTGTGACATAATAGTGCACCAGTGCGAAGTCTATCAATTAATATAATGTCAGAAAAATCCCCTTATAAGAATGGTAGTGTGTGGTGTATTCATCATTTCTGGTATTAAATGACACCAAAGATTCCTCAAAAGCGCCCTAGGCACAGTAGCTGGCAAGCCTGAAGAAACCCGTAGAGGAGACAATGTGAAGCGGTTACAATGGGAGGAAACCCCAGAGGAATATCCTGGGCAGGTAAAAACCCGATAGGGACTGAAAACGCAACCCACAGGTAGACCGATCCGGGAAACAAACCCGAACCGCAGATGTGGAAAGCGAGGAAAGAACCATTTCACCAACCTGACTCCCCCTTCCATACGAGCCCATCAAAATGACGGTTTTCTAGGGAAACTGCACTCGCTATGAATAACTTACATCTGAGTTGATCGTAGTCTTGTATTGCGACGTGTCGTACATCCACCCACTTTCGCAGGGCACGGCAGAATAAGTGAAATTGTCGACGTCAGTGGGTGGCACGTACGGATCGAACGCGTACCCATCCGGCAAGTCCCACTGATCGCAGTTGGAGTGAGGATATTTGCTGTCATTTGACTCTGGAGGAGGCAGGAAGATGGACTTCTTCACATCGGTGCAGTTATCTTGCAGTTCCGGCCAGCTCGAGCAATTAGCATCGGGCAATACGCTGCACCAGTGGTCCGTCTCAGCAGCGTAGAACACGTGGCCGAATGTCACTATGCAGGTTGTCATGGCCAAGAAGCCCCCATAACAGATCATGAAGAACTGGTAGCGGCCGAAGTTCCCCAGAAGGGGCAAGATTTCCTCAAGCTTCATGTTGGAAAAATCACGCTACAGTCCTCACCGATAAAGCAAACTACCAAACCATTGCACAGTGCCTAAAATGATGCTCGACTTTATTCTACCAGTGGCCTTTGTCTTTCCAAACTCCCCCACTATAACTCCCTGTTATCTGCCCTTGAGGCCTGGCCTCTCGGTTATCTTTAGTTTCTATTCGTCCAATGCTCTGTGGTCCAAAAAACCGGCATTTCACAGGGTGAATTGTTTTCCTATGTCAACGCAAGGCTGAGGCAAATGTGCCATTTGAGTTATGCAATCAACAGCTATGTACACAACGACAAAGTGATAAGTGGGGACCTTTGCCGCGTGCATTGAGCAAGCATTGTGTCGGGCTCCCACCCTATCCGTTGTTGATACAAGGGGACGTTATTCGCGTTGAGGCGGGCGTTTTCAAAGAGTAGAGCTTTCTCACGTGCCCCAGATTTTACTTGTGTTCTGTTGCTGTCTGGAAGCATAGGCCTACGTATACAATGCGGTTAGTTCTGGAAAAGAGGGGAAAGTACATAAATACAGGTAGACGGAGATTTCGGGGTGGATTATGGGCCTATGGGCCTCTAGCTGGACCAAGAGAGGGCGCTACTTTCTCAACAACGGAGGTTCCTTTGGTCGGAACTAAACTACGGACGTGACTAGATACTAACCCGTGAAACCTGGTCTGCTATTTTTCTCAAGACTCTTAGAGGGTTCATGCTTGGACTCTGTTTCTGCATCAATTGAAAAAGGAAATCCCAAACACAATGATAAAATTGGAAAATAAATAGCGCAAATGGGTCGGATTCGAACCAGGGACTATGGATCTGTAGTTCAAATCACTACTAACTAAGCTATCGAAGCGACGTAATGGATTCCGTTTTTGAAATGTCTCAAATGGTGAATTGCATTGTGCCCTCTTCATGAATCATTGGTCACCCCAGCTACTGAAAAAAAGTAGCGCACCAGGTTTCACGGGCTAGTATTAAGTCGCTTCCCTAAAACTACGCCGGTTCACGAACGACTAGGAAATGCACGCCTCACGGTCGCGTCGCTCCCAACTATTTGGACACTCCTGACCATCCGCATCTCTTTTCAACCGACGAGGGGGTGCTTCTGCTCGGGGCGGATTGGAACAGTTTTAGGGTTGATACGTCAACAGTTCTTTATTATCATGATCTGCTGACTGTAACTCGTCAGAGGAGCAACTGGGAAACCTGAAGGTCGTCTTGATCAAGGAAGTGCTTATCAGCTGAATCTAATTCCAGAACACACATTTTATGAGCCGGGTCTAGAGTTCAGTATTTTATTGTTTCCAATTGTCCATATATTTGCGACGAGTGTCGGCATGTGTTGTTTCGTCTATTTCTGGCTGTTCATTGGATGTGAATTCGCCCCGTATCTTGGTTTATTTGCACTGTCAAAGAACTTTTTCCGCCAACCGTTCTTTGTTTCGGAGTGGACCGAAGTCTTCGACAGTAAGATCTCATTTAAATTATATCAGATCTTTTCTTCTACACTCGTGGCATATCGTAATCATCGAGTATAGACACTATGTGTCACACTTCTTGAGTATTTTTCCAATTATCATTGGCATGGATCAGTAGTTACAACGTCAACGTTGACTGCATGGAAACAGTGGTGGGCATTATGCTTCTTTTAATCTGGGTGGGTTTATCATGAGAAATTTTGACACATACAACATTACGAAGTACAAATTGACTAACATTTCTGGTGTGTCATGGCGATCGCACTGAGCTAAAGCCGGTTCATACTTTGAAAGAAAGCGAACGCAAGCTCGAATTTATGAGGGCAGCTCAAATCTTCGCGCTGCGAATTCGCCAAAGTTGAACACATTTCAACTAGAGCGAAATTTCGCTTCTAAGCATTCGTGACGTCACATTTGAATCGCTTTCACAATCGCCTGTAGTATGAACCGGTCTCTCGACGGGTCAGGGCAAACTGTTTTGCCCGGCAATATATGCCCGACTGTCGGTTATAAATATAATTTATAATTGCAATTTATTCATTTATTAAAGCGCAAATTTCATATAGATATGTTCAAATGCGCTATACAATGAATACATTTAAACATGATTGAGCCGATGGCATACAAGGACGCCTCGGGCAGCCGCCAAACGACCCACATTCACCAACATTAGCAAAGAGGAGACAGCAAGAAGCAGTTACAGTTTTAGAGGTGGGAGGAAAACCCCAGAGGAATAGTCTGGGTAAAACCCACGGAGTCAGGTAGTTCTGAAGTTCCACAATAATGCTTGTGAGAAAGACTGAACTATTTTAAACGCGAATTTACTTAGATCCCAATTTGAAAAAAAAGACATTCAATGAGTGATCTGCAAGAGATCTGCAAATCATAAAAAAGAAATTTCATAAATACATGTATATCAGTCACTGTACCATAAGTCTGTTAATATAAATCAGAAAATGGAAGAATGGAGGGAGGCATTCTAAATGGTTATGAAAATAATTCTTCCTTCAAACTATGTGGCGTAATGTTTAGCAAATAGGATGAAAACAGTTCATTCACAATTATAAAGAACACTTTATATATGTACACATTACAACATTTGATTTACCATTTTCAATAATGGAAAACGCATTGTCTCATCAGTTACATGTATGGTACATCAGCAGTTTGGAAGACAACCCACCGGTTTTTGCTAATCAAGAACACGGGTGATCTTAGTACACGTACTCCCAGTATAAAAAGCGTATTTAGTTTCATATACAAACCCATCAACTACAAGGCTTAGGTTAGCCAAACGCGTACATGAAACCGCAGATGTCAAAGTGCTGTAAATTAAAAGGAAATTTCACATAATATGTATGTATACTGTTAATTAAATGTATCACATCATTATTCTTTGATTGATTTATCGGTATACCCATGGCTGAGTTTGTTCACTTAATATAACTTCCAATTCTTTCGAGTTCACATGCACTTATTTAATCAAAGAAAGTGTGCACATGATAACTTAGTCTTTCAGATACACATTTTATAAAACTCATAATTTTCATACACTCCAATTACAAGAATGGAAGTGTTTTGAATGAAGACACAGATAACCAATGTCTAGAGTCTTATCTTCAAAAAGTAGGAGTAGTATTATTGCCAAGTTGCTGATACGTCTCAATTTCCATCTTGTGTTTTTTTCTCAACGAATTAAAACACATTGGAGAACAGTCAAGACAGCACGTACATGGATTCTGTACTAATTCTGGCCTTCCATTCTCAACTTGTGAATTTACATGTAACAAGGAGGACTATTACGTAACTCATCAATGGCCGAGCTATCTCCAAATGCACCCAATAGTTATGCAATATGCGAATAAGGTTTTAAGCGTTGAATGGCGTTGTAATCAATTGCATATTATCACACAATCGGTTGAATAAAATATAAAAAAAGTTCTAACTTCCTATGCAACTGATCACGACTTTGCCAATCAATCAATGGAAATAGATGGGGCAACGGTTAGTACACCATACAATACAACGTACGTGCTACGGTTGCCAAACGATGTTCACTCCAGCAGGCTCTCCAGCAGAGTGACCCAGTTTTTAATCTCTCAAGCAGCCCGCCCCCCACGCCCAACAAAAGAGGGTGGTGCAATACCAAGCTTCACATTTTGGTTGAATGCAGGGCAGAGACAAAAAGTCTATTCAGATCGCCTGCACGGGCGCACGCATAGCTGCATTAATTGCTACAGCACACAATTGCCAAGAGAGTTGGGTGAATAATGCAATGGCAGAGGGCGCTACACAGCATCGCTACAAGGTATTATTCAGTAAGCCTACATGTATTACGGAGTTACATATGAAAGACAGTAGAGGGACCAGGTGACTCACGGTCGACCGATCACGCTCAATATGTGACAGAAAAGAGAAACTGTCAAAGCTAGAAGTGGAGGGATGAGGTGACCTAACTGCCTAACCGGGTAGACTGGTCACACTTGACTTTAGACATTTCACATCAAAATTGATTCTTTGCATATAATACACGCGATTAAACCAGGTACTGGATGAAGCATACGTTTAAAGTTGTGCAAAAACCTAAGGACAAATACTATTACTATACAAGTGACGGATAAGGACTTAACAAGGACACCAAGAACTTGACGGGCAAGAGTAGTATTTGTTAAACATTATAAGAGTTGAATAATTGAGTTTTAACTTTGTTGTGACTTAGAGAATGGATGTTTGGAACAGGTCACCAAGACTATTCCAGAAGTGAGTACACTGTCGACACTGTTTAACACAGAAGCTCTGTTGGATTAAGATAGAGATTTTTCGAAGTTAATGTAAAACATGTACCGAAGCAAGATGGAAGAGCATTTGATTATATAATGTAATCGTTACGCAGATTTAGGTAATAAACCGTAATAGCTTGAGGTTGACAATAGCGAGTTTGTATGTTCACGGTGGTTCATATTCCACATTGATACGAATACAAGTGGCACATTTTGTAAACCTACAAATTTATCACAATCAGTCAGGTCAAAATGCTAATATATGCTCTGAAAGGTCTCTCTGTAAATGTTAAATCCAGAGCTGTATATAGAGAGAATAGCGCCAACTTTAGACTTTGAAACCAAAATGCAACTATTGTTTACTAATTGTCCGTGTACACTAAACGCATATTATCCACCATTTTAGTTCCAACAGTTGGGACGTTCATGTCACAGCTCTCTCTTTATTGAGTTCTGGTTTGATCCAGGCCGAGTCCTGAGTACACGAGACTTCTTTTTTTGCAGAGTATACATGTCGATTTACATATGCGAAGACTCCCGGTGGTTTCGTGTGAACTGCTGCGAGAAGTCGCGACATTTCTTCTCCTCTCCGTGGTCGAAGGCTGCGTTGGAAATCGCAAAGACGCCCTCTTTGTCGAGATCCACTTCATCAAGTTCGATCACAGACTCGTTGGAAACATTCGCAGTCATGCACTTACACCTAATGCCAGATATAATACTTATTATCACGCTTCGAACACGGTTTATGGAATCGAGAATCTATAAATGCTATTATGGTGTATCAATTAGGCATAACAACCAAAATCACAGATTTCGGATTTCAAAAAGGCAAGGTTATTTGAGAACAAAGTACGTATCAGTCAATCAGTAGTCCCAAAGCTGGTTCGCTTCATCTATAAACCGGGTTCTGGCGTCAGTGAACCAGCGAAATGGATTACTAATCAAGATTCGGATTCGTGTGAAACAAACAGGACTTAGATCGGCAGTGCCTGCATCAAGGTCGTGAGACGTCACTTCAGTTTAAACCACGCCTACTGCTCATAGAGTGACGCAGAACCATTGACCCAGTAGTTAAAGTGCAACGTGAGTGTTCATCCAATGGGAACTTGTAATCAGTGATGAAACTGCACTCTAACTCGTGGCGAGCATCGAGATGGGATACTTTTAGTAAAAAGCAATAATTACGAATATTGACACTCACTTTCCCATTGCCTCAGCCTCCTTCAGCGTCTGGGGCAGTTTGCGTCCTTTCGTCTCCGGCAAGAAGAACACCAGTATTCCCGCCGCAATCGCGCTGGACCCGAACACGATTGACGGCACATTGCGCCCCAACAGCAGGACGAGAGGAGAGATGATGCCACCGATGCGAGACGACACGGAACACATACCGATGCCAACGGCCCTTGCATAAGAAAGAAACTATTTTTAAAGCCTTCCTCTATGGACTTTAAGGCTTAAGCAAACACCAGGGGAAAACTCTGATCGTGTACCGGGTGAGGGTAATATTCACAAGAAGGGAAACTAGGTCTCTGTGCTGGCTTAGGTGCACTGCACACTCCATGAAGTATTGGCGGATCCAGCAAAAATTCTCTGGACTTTCCTGATGGCGCCTTCCAGTAGCGAAAAGCACTTAATTGGGTTTTGCACAGAGCGACTCTCTCATATATAAATGGACATGTACATTGTGCACCTAAAAATCGAAGGGACACCCAATACTGTGGCGACCTGTCGTACGTGGCCTATACATGTAATTCATACATGTGGGGAACCTTGTATCCTATGTAAACCTACCTAATAGGTGTTGGGAACAGCTCGCTGGAATACAGGTATATTATACTAAACGTCGCAGAGATACAGAATTTGCCAATCATTGACACCACAGTCCGCCAGATCCCAATGGCTGGTGGGAGAGAACAACACATCCAGGTGAACCTCCTTCGGTTACTACAAATAGTATTGTACCTGAGAGCTATTGTTACAAATATGTATGACACCTTGCACTTCACGTGTCCTCTGATACACCAGTATCCACCGTTGGTTTTACATGTGGTCGCTATATTTTATATGGTAAACTTTCATCCATCGGGCTGAGCTTAACAAGTAAAGGCCCTACAGTGAATGAAATCATTTCTGCCCCCGTGAAATGTTTGTTTGTACAGGGTTACCATCAGCTGTGCACCCTCGAGCGGCAAAGAGGAGACAAGCAGAGGGACGATTTTCAACCGGACTCCGAGCATGAGCCCTGTAACACTTGAATGATCCAATGACGTCTGTGAGAAATCGGTTGCGCACACCCGGCACGGCCTAGACCTGTACCTACGCGTGCACGGCGGTGAGATCTCAGGTTAGATCTCACCCAAGGACTGTCGTTTCCATCTTAAAGGGGATATTTCGTGACATTGTATGCGAAGGTATACATGGTAGACACTTCTTACGAATGAAGATGGCTACCAAGCAAGCGACGCCACCAATAAGCTCCAGCACCGCGGTGTTCCATTTCCGACCGAACCACTCCACGCCAAAAGTGGCGTACACCAGGGCTGGGATCTCCACGGCGCCGGACACGAAGAAAGCCCAGTAGTCGTCCACGCCGAGATCGCCGGTGCTCAGCGACAGGCCGTAGTACACCAGACTGTTGACCAACCTGAGAGATGCACGACACAGCAACACCATTTATTCAATAAGCTCACTGGTAACCAACACCGGTTCGCAGTACTAAGGAATCAGATCTGTATACACAAAAAAATATTGCGACGAAACATAACTGTGCTTTGCACCTACCAGTTATATTGCATGTTGATTGTCTTGACCGCCATGTTTGGAGTCCTGTACAAATCAATGAAGGACGGAGGTATTGCCGACTCCCTCGCTTCCTGCATTCGAATATACACATGCAATGTTCAATGCGCACATTTAGTCCTTACTGGCTGGTGAAGTGTACTTTGTGCTTCTCATTTCTAACAGAGAAGTTGTTTTCAGCCAACAATATTCAGGTTTAATACTCACCTTACCGAGAGACAGCAAGTGAAAAGGAGGACATTGCAATGTAGTTTAAAATCTCAGTACGGTAATATCCCATTTACCATTTCGTTTTGATCATCCTCTTTATCGAAAAGAACATCCGGCAAGGTCTTCTTGTTGAACTTGGCCACTCTCCTGATAACTGCATCGGCTTCCTTCAGTTTGTCCTTAGACACCAGCCAACTGATGGATTCCTGCACAAATCTACATGTTTAATTATACATATACCAAAGGTTAATGAACTTCAGTAAAATTCACAGGCCTATACGACATAGACGAAGGAACGTTTACAAGGACGAGCGGTAAAGGAACAAGGTGGGCCTCTGCCCTGCGATCTTATTTTACACTCAACTCGAGCCGGAAATCCCCCCTTATAATGCGTCACGGTCCCACAGGGAAGAATAGCCGTGGCAGTCAGTGTGACGTGTGCAAATGCGTGTAAACAGCCGGAGATGCGAATTTCACTAAAATGATGCAGATTTTCCCAATACAAGCAGCGACTTCATGCCATGGCTCTATGAACAGTTTCACTGCAAAAACACATCATACTTACGGCAACGGAAAAAGTAGAGGAACTGTCGCGAGGGACATAATTAGACAAAGAGGGCGCCACTCTCTGACGTACATGGCAGCTGTTGCCAGGAAGAAATACCCAACGGCGTAAGTTATGCCAAACAACATGGTTACAGCTGTGCGCCAAGAATCGGGGACGTTCTCAACCGCTGAAAAAGACAAAGAGGCAAGCCATTACCACAGGAACCGAGGGCATACCGGCGCCAATGTCGAGGGGCTGAAGGAATTCTGGCCTTCTGTTCATCAATGCAACGGGAGCCTGTGTCCTACAGCCAGGATGACATATTTTCTTACAACTTCCCAGAAAGCATCGGGTATTATCAACTGCGATTACATTCAAAAACATAAATTTGCACGGAGTAATAATAGGTAGCTAGCAATAATAAATGCCGCCGAGAGGAAAAAGACACAGGAAGGAATTATGTCTCTTACCCAAGACAAAGCTGGAAAGGTAGGCGCCATATTCACCAAATCCAGATATAAAACGAAACGCCATGTACATATAGATATTGACCGAAAAGGTAGTGACTATGAAACCGACCACCCAGAGTAGCAGGGAGAGCGACAGAGCTTTCTTGCGACCTAACCTGCATTGTAATAGGACAGAACAACGATCATGAATATGACGTATATCACATTGCATTGATATGCTTCAATTTGAGTGCACGACGGTAAACGTAACAAGATATTTACTTCAAATAAAAGCCAGCATCTGCTGTTATTATGATTCTAACCTATGCCATCGGTCTAAACCAATTCTGACGGTGCTCATGACAATGTTAATGGTGGCTGTTATGATAAGGGGGGATATCAAATCACATTTTTGAGTAGCCTCTCTCAAAATGGGGAGTTGCCATGGAAATCAAGGATCACTTCACTGAAAATATAAAGGACTGGAACTCCCTGTGCATGAGATTTTATGGAGTGGCATGATGCTCGGCCTTCTTGCCCTAAAATACGTCAACCATTTTCTTGGTTCAGCAGTCTAATCGAGGCAAGACTGGTGCCAAGAAAACGGTAAAAATTTGTTATTACAAGAAGCCTAGACACCATGCCGTCATTAAACAGTCTGATATGGGGGGGTGGGGGTTCCAGGCCTTTACAAGAATCAAGAATTGGTATTACGAACCTTGAGACTGAACCTTAGTGTTTTACTCTACCTTAGTTTGAAATTTCAAATTCCTAAATGAATCTGTATTTTGGAGATTTTTGGTTTTCTTATGCAGGTGCAAACTTCCATTGTCGAAAGCAAAGCTTTGATGTTATCCCTGCTGCATCGATTTACTTGTGCTTGAAATCGTGCTCGGACTTTGTATTTCGGGAACTGAGCTGAACGAAGCTTAAGGAGAATTCAATATACATCATTTACTAATTCGGACATTCATAGAATTATGGGGGATTTCCAAGGTATTATTTATTAATTTGTGCTGTAAATGTAGGAGTCACTTCATGTCATGGCGCGTATAGTACACTGAAGCGGGACTGATTGTCATGTTTGGTGCTCATTCCGTTCTCTGTCACAGATGATCATTTTTACAGCAAATCAGCGTTTAAATCATTTTAATTATTTTGTTTGTATGGTGAAATATACACGACACTTGTCTCAAAGTTTGTACTGTCAGTGTTTTGCCCGGCCCTTGCCATTCATTACTAATCATTTGGGGAACCTTCCTACCCCACACGTGGTGCATATAACATTATTCCATGCATGGTCATCCGATGGTCGCGACACTAAGATTCCCTGGATGTTTTGATTTTTTATTGACTTTTCCATGGGTTGCTATATATATATTTTTTTGGAGGGGAGAGGGCTGCTCAAAACTGTGGTTTAACCCCCCATGGCAATGGTTGTTGTAGCAAGGGTGGTAGTGGGGGTAATGTTTAAGAAAGTGGTAGCTATGGATAAAAGAAATTGCAATGGATAGGCATAACGGCACCGTGAGCATGGTAACGGGAATGGTGAAGACCTTATGTTATTCTTACCAGTCTGAGAGTGTCCCTACAATAATTGACGACACTAGAAAGCCGACGAAGTAGATTGACTGACTGAAGCTGGGTAAATCGTTGTCCACGCACACGAGGTCAAACTATAATGGAAGACAATAAACTAGGAAAACACATTTGGGCCTAGTTTTAGCGCTTGCCAAGAATGTATAGTTTTCTCTGCAGTGGCAGCTAACAGGTGCTGATAAAAAATTTCAGGAAGTTGCAGGAGTACAAACGGCACAATATGTAATTCATCTCGTCTGATTTCGAGTACATATAATTCTATTTCCATTTTCAACAATACGGGTAATTCACAATAGTGCGCCTCCAAGAGTTTGCAACGCGTCGGCCAATCACAACTCGCGAAATTTGTCGACAATTCCAGAAGCGCATTGAGTCGACAAATTTTCGCGCATTGTGACTGGCCAACACGTTGCATACTCTTGGAGGCGCACTATTGTAAAACGCCCGTATTTTCTGAGAACAATTCACTAATCGAAACAGAAGGAAAATCGATGGTGACCTGACGAAAATCATGGTCCGTAAATTTCACTTACTATATACATAATGTATTCACCACTGGCACATCAATTGTTACGATTAAAACCTACATCTTACTGCTTTAAAAGCCTGATCGACAACAGAGAACATCTCAGCTTGCATTTAATTACCAGGTTTTAACTTTGGGATGTAAACTTACCTCTGATATGATTGTAGTCTTGTACTGCGACGTGTCGTATACCCATCCACTTTTACAGGGCACGGCAGAGTAAGTGAAATTGTCGACGTCAGCGAGCGGCGCGTAGGGATCAAATACGTACTCACTTGGCAAGGCCCACTGATCGCAGTTGGAGTAGGGATATTTGCTCGAGTCGTTCTGGGAGGGAGGAAGGAACATGGCCTTCTTGACCTCGGTGCAGTTGTCTTGGAATACCGGCCAGCTGGAGCAGTTCTCGTGGGGTAAGACTGAACACCAGTGGTCGGTCCCGGCAGCGAAAAACACATGGCTGAGAGTCACGAAACAGCCTATGCAGCTTAGAATGGACGCGTACGCGATCAACAAGATTTGATATCGGCCAAAATTGCCGAGCAGGGCAGTGATTTCTTCGAGCTTCATATTTTTAGGGGTCTTCAGCCACCAAAAATCAGTCAGTAACAGCAAAAATCAGTACTTGTGTTTGTCGACACACTGAGTCTCATAAATGCGTCACGGCCCCTTTTGAATGTGCACGAAGCGAACCACAGACACTACATTGGTGTCTGACTGATTGTTCCTGACAACAGGTCTATCTCTCAAGAGCACATATCAGATCGGTAAAGCAATAACTGAGTAGCAAGGTTCAAATCTGTCAAAAGAATGTCCTTTCAAATCTACATTTATGGTACATGTTACCTTATAATAAATGGCTCTTACGCAAGCACCGGGGAGAACTCCGCACGTGCTGGAACAACAAGCCTTCAACGACACTCGGCCTAATAAGCCTTTTGCGAGTTAAATTTGAATAAAATCTGGACCACAAAACAGGCGCATAAACATAACAAAAGTTGAATTCCTCAGATTCGAGACACCGTTGCTATACCTCATGATGTGGGGGAAGATTTGCATAGCGACCACCATCTCTGAAATGGACTGGTTCATTTGCACCCTTCTTATCCATTGAAAACACTGTATTGGTGCGAAAGCTTGTCCCGAATCACGAGGTACAGCAACAGTATCTTTAAATGAGAAAAAAATGAAATTGGTATGTTCACTTGAATTTAAAGAACCCAGTGTACCAGACTTGATTCAAATTCAACTCTCAAAAGGCTTCTTGTCAGGTTTCTATACATGCTTTTACGCATGTCAATGGTCTGCAACTGGTTTCATCCTCGAACCCGCCTTTGTCTTGACTCCATGCACGACATCTGAGAACGATCATGCTCAACGGTCTCCAGTAACGGCCTCCCTAGACCGATACCACTTCCCGGCATTCGCACTCGTACTCACTTAACTACAATTTCCACGTGCCTGTGAACGAACAAGCAAGCTTTTACGCTGAATAGTCGTCATCATTTTAGGTTGTCATTCCGTAGCTCTAGATTTTCCTTTTTAATTAAAATTGCCTCAAAACTGGGTTTCAGGACCTCGGTTGTTGAACCCCAGCTAGCTTTTAAGGCATTCTGCCTTCGAGTAATATGCAGCAACAATGGTCGTGTTAAAATATGGTCCCTCCCCCGCTGGGAGCTGGAGACGCCAAATTGCCCCCCCCCCAAAAAAAAAACTATTCTGTCATTCCTTTTGACTTCTTTTGACAAAATCCGACTTAAATGAATAACAAACAAAGAAATGAGCGCTCTAAAGAAGAAATTCTATTGAAGTCTGGAAAGGGTAACTAAAACGAGGAAAGATTCGCACCTGCAAATACTTCTCAAAAATTAAAATCATGAAATAAACGATACAGGGAAACTGACTAGGCGCTAACAAATAATATAAAGATGAACAAAGGAATTAACTCGAGCATTTAAACCTTTGGACATATGAAACGTTGTTAGACAAACATTCGCGATTCAGGCGGTGTAACCTTTTCATGCAACTTAATTTTTTTTTTCTGTCAGTACAATAATGTGCTTTTGTACTCTTTCTGCAGCCCGCGGTTTTATCAAAGTGCCATTTATTTTCTTAAGTCAAACATAGCAATGTCAATATAGACTATGCCCTCGCCCACTTGTTATTTGCTGACACAAAATAAAACTGCTGCACATGTAGAGGCCGTAGGTCAGTGTTCTCGATCATACGTCTCATGGTTCTGTGGTACAACGTTTCATGGCTCCACGGCCATACAGAATACCAACGTTTCTCCAACGCTCTCTTTTCCCTAAGCTAGCCCATTATCCGAACTACATGTATCCTGCGCGGCAGGTTTACGTAATAGTGACACGCTTGAGTGCATGCCAAAAGGGCACGGGCTCCACATGTCCAGGATATGGGGGAAGGACACCAACGAGACTTGCACTGCGCTGAAGTCTCGATCGGTATGAATGTACCTTTTCCCCGTTGATTTTGCTCGATTTGGACCGGTGAAGTGCCCTGTTGTAGGTTAAAAACGGTCGTTGCTTAAGACCAGCTTCGGAACCTGTACAGGACTTGCAAGTAGAGCGTGGGCAGGCCAGAACGTCTAAACGTCATGAAGCTGTGAGTGTAACCGCCACTCCATTGTAGGTAAGTAGGCCTATTTGTATAGTACATGCACATGTAATATTGTAATGCATGCTATCGTATGCACCTACAGTACTATTTGTGTTCGTATGCCTTGGTGTTTTCCTACCCTGTAGGTGTTCCTGTGCATGTCCTGTTTATGATAAACAAATAACACGTAGGCTAATAAGCTTTGAAGCTTTTCATGGTGGAAGTGACAAGTTCAGTAAAAGGTCTGCGGTAGGACAAGGCAAAAATAGCATTTAATAGAGCCCGAAAGTTGACCCCTTGATGGCGCGCTTCCGGAACCATTGGATAGGAAAAATAAAGTGCAAAGATTTTAGAATTTGTAATATTTTTTTCGTTCAGTTTCTTCTTAAAAAACCCAACTTGAAAAAGGGATTTGAAATATATTTGCCAGTATATCAATTTATAGAAACTGAAAAATTTCCTGATCTAAAAGACAAATATCCTGCCAAAAATTGACCCATTACTTCCGAAAATCTAAACTACATGAACAGTGCAATGCCGCACTCTCGTACGCAGATGAACATTCACGATTAGAAATTTTATGGAAGTCTGTCGGTAAAAGCCGAATTAAAAACAGATCAAAATATTTCACACAGTTTTATCATTTATAAGGTAATAAATATAAAACAACATTCTACTTTTACGACAGATTCTAATATTTATCTAACCATTGTTGACAACAACTGCGTGATGTCAACTCAACGGAATCTGGAGCCCATTGACTGCAGGTAGGTCAATCTTTACCAGGTTGTACAATCTCGTTTTCCAGAAAGCACTGCGAGTGAAAATAAACGTGAATGAACAAGGAGACCTAGGAACGATACCGCTGGACGTGAAAAGTCGTTAAAAAATTGCGTTTTTTACCCATCTCCAGGTGACTTTTCCCAAATATTACTTGAGGAAGACAAAGGTAAAATCCCAACGTGAGTATTTCATGGGGTGGTTTCAGTAAGGAATTATTCTTCCAAAAATTATCGAACAGGATAGGACGGCACAATGTAAAATCCCCGTAGGCAGACCGCGCAAGGGTCCCGGAAGCTCGCTGCATGACCTCTTACGTTCAGGCTCTATATTTAACCTTTATAGGCTTATGATAAGCGCCCTCCTTTCTCAAGTCATGTCACGTCGTTGAAGGACTGCAATCTATCTAAGCGTGTGCATGTATTTGTGACTGTTGGTTAATCATGGACTGTCGGTATTGGCTGACCCTAAGGGCGGGGTCAAGTGAACAGGTCACGGCAAACTTTAGATGTGCAAAATACACAGAGAAGCAAACATCAATTAACAACATTACCCTTCCTTTTCCAATGTACCCGCCCCCCCAGTTTGGGTCTCAAACAGGCCACAAAGATGGATGCCCCCTGTTTAATTGAAAAAACCTTGTTTTTGTTGAAGATCTGAAAAAATTATATTAAGTGAAAAAAATCATAAACTGTTATCCGGGAATCAGGAATTCCCACGCGTTTGGAAATACCAACTAATTAAAATCCCGTTTGTTTTCCTCAGGGTTTGGTGATTTCCTTCCACGCTACAGATGGTCACCCCTTCTGACGTTGTGGTGATATGATTGATACACTCCGGGAGCAAAATGGCGTCGTGTGTTCGGCAGAGGTTCTTCTGCTGGTTTGCCGTCCTCTGTACTTTCTTTGTTGTTGTTCAAGTGATGTTGCTTATCAACCAGCAGAGATGCAATTCCGTAGGCCGACGAACCAGCAAAGACGCCTTCCACTCGACGCCGCATCGGGCGACCAACAAAACCATTTTTTTAAGAGAGACGGAGCAAAGACGTCGGTGCAAGCGGGCCGTGGAAAACTCCCCAAACCGGCCGATAAATTTCTCATTGACCCATCTCCTTCGAACAACAGTCTGTGGCCGTTTCACCGACACTGGGAGACCAACTGCTCAGCCATATTTGCAGGCGATACAAGTGTTATTCGACCGACCTATAACAGGTTGAAGAAGGAGCGTCAAGCGCATAATGGCTCGATTCTGGTGCCGGAGGACCACGAGGTGCAGACATGGACGCGCTACTGTGAATCGTACAAGCGCCTGAGGCGATATCCAAGCAGCCCGCGCTCGAAGGAAGAGGCTGAATTCCCCGTTGCATACATCATCGTTGTTCATAAGGAGGCAGCCCAGGTCGAGCGACTCTTGAGGGCCATTTACCAACCTCAGAACCTCTACTGCATCCACCCTGACACCAAGTCGTCGTCGGACTTCCATCGGGCGATCAGGGGGCTGGTGGGCTGCTTCAAAAACGTATTCATTACGTCTAGGAGGGAAGATGTGCAATATGCCGGGTACACCAGGCTCTTGGCCGATATCAACTGTATGAGAGACCTGACCGGTCCGAGAGGCGACGAGTATCGCTGGAAATACGTCATAAACCTATGCGGGCAGGATTTCCCACTGAAAACCAATCTGGAGATTGTTCGACAACTCAAGGCCTACAAAGGTCACAACGATATCACCGGCGTCGTACCGCCTAAGTACATCACTGGCAGGACCTCTTACCATCATGTCATCAAAAACAAGCAAGTCAAAAGGACCGGCCGGGCCAAGGTGCCCGCACCTCATGCACTGAAAATCCACTTCGGGAATGCTTACTACGCAGCCACCAGGCACTTCGTTGACTATGTCCTGACCAGTCCAGCGGGTACTGACCTCCTGCGCTGGTCCAACGATACCTACAGTCCCGACGAACACTTCTGGGCTACCTTGCAGCGCGCCCCTGGCACGCCGGGCGGCTACCCGCACCCGACGTGGGACGAGAACGTGAGGTTCATGAAGTGGGGAGACATTACGAAGCACCCACCGTGCCGCGGGATATACGTGAGGGCGCTGTGCGTCTTTGGTGTCGGTTACCTAGATTACCTCGCCACGCAGCCTTACCTCTTTGCTAACAAATTCTACTATAGCTACGACCCGGTAGCGATACAATGCTTAGAGGAGGCGCTCATCAACAGGACTCAAAACCCTGCACTATCAGACAGGCTTCCTAATTTCCCCGTCACGAACCTCGTGTGGCAAAACCATACAGCCTTACCGTAACAAGTATATTGTTTGCCCCTCAATTAAGTAGGCACAAGTGCATCTTCTGAAAAACAAGGGCCGGGCCCATTGCTTTGCTGCGGCTTGAAACAGTATACGGATATGCACGGAGCCACCAACCTGTATTTTAAGTTATTTCCAACAGTAGCAAAAGTCATATGGACACATTTTGCAGTTGAAATAAACCATACGATTTACTTACGATTGATCTCTTGATGTCCAAGTTTGGGGATCTGGGAATATAAAGCGAAAGGTTAAGAGTGCTTAGATAAGCTTGAGTAAACCCGCTTTGTTTGAAATACAACAATTTTTAGTTTTGTGCTGTTACTTCTGTATAATTTTTATAACGTATTTTTGCATTTTTATTGGCCCTATCAATTCACACCATTCGTGATGATTTTACTGTTATCATGAAGCTTTAGCTGTGCAATAAAAGTCTAAGAAACAAGGCATCTGTTGCAGTTTGCTTGAGATACGGACATCCCTCATCCACCTGTTTATGTATTATAGGTTACCAGAGCTTTCTTACGACCAATCCTAAATTGTAACAATGACAAAGCAAAGCCGATATAAAGAGAAATGCACTGCCGGACAGGAAGCCGAAAGCCCAGTATTCGTTCACGCCGAGATCGCCTGTGCTCTGTGACAGGCCAATGTACACTAGGCTATTCACCAGCCTGGTGGAAAGGGAATTAAACACCCAGAAAAGTGTGCTTAAAAATATTTTAAAAAACTGTTTCTCTTCTTGCAGTGGAATAGGTTTCAGATAATAGGAGCTCTAGGTATTTGGCTATATGACAGCAGAAAATAGACGCGAAAGGGCAGATGGGCCGGAATCACTGAATTTCATCAAAGGATGGTTGATCTGGAAACAGTCACCGACAGCCACCGGTAAAGGGCAAGTGATTGCCTGCCATGGCGTATATGTACTGTACATAGCCGACATTGATTCTCGAATGATACCGACGTAGACCTAAAGATTCTTTTGCAGACAAGTTTCAGTTTGGAAATCCTTTGCGATCGTAAGTCGGAAAATGAGTATTAGTAAAGGGGTTTTTTTGTTCCAATTTCTTTGTAGGTCTTATTTAAACAAAAAATAATATTAACGTTAATGTCTGTAGACATGGATAGGCTATTGTTTTTGTTTTAAAGCAGTCTATTTACCGACTGTGTAACGTTTATCACCCGTGAATAATATAAGGACTGTTATCGGGCATTCCATTTATACCCATTATGGAAAGCTCACTAAATCAATAAAGATTTGGGAACATTACAAAGCACAGCGATCGATAGCAGCCTACCACGCACGTAAGATTAAAACAACAGGAAATACGCAACACACACCACGTTGATTGTCTTGACCGTCATGTTAAACAGGTCGATTACAGATGGTAAAACAGCTGAATCGTTTGATCCCTTCATTCACAAAACCCCGTAGGGTGTCAGCCCTGGTAAATTCAGATTTCTGTTCTCCAATTTCTAAATACACGTACATGTAGTACGATTTCAGAGTAGTTCACGCTTGTACGCTTGAGTGCATGTCACCGGTTTGACATGCACTCACATTATGATGTGACTTGCACTATACGACACTCCGGTCTGGATTGGATTGAGCGAACGCTTTCCCATTGATTGTGCTCGATTTGGATGGGTGCAGGTGAAGTGGCTTGTATTTAGTCACAAACGGTCCTAGCCTAAGACCAGCATCGAAGCTATTAACAGGACTCGCATGGGAGCACTTACATGCGCACGTAGAGCATAGGCAGACCGTAGCGGCTAAAATGTGAAGCTGTAGCCACCACAAGTAAGTATAAAATATATATACACACAAGGGCGGATGGGGGAAGGGACAACCCCCCCCCCCAAAAAAATGAAGATTTTTTTTTAAATCAGTACAAATTAAGATTTGAAGTGTCGGGAATGGAGGTTGTTTTGTATGGAAAGGGCCATTCCTCAGCACCTGCTTGATTATGACAGGTATGATCATCACTTAATGCATAAGTTCACCGAGGACGCTGCTTGTTTGTTTTTCCCCCCTCCCAAAAATTGGGGTTTGGATCCGCCCTTGTATACACATGTAGTTTGTACGTGCTTTCAGAGTATCTTGCACGTAGTCGCAGACGGCTTGTTCCCCGACTGCTGTCTGCACCATTAGCACGCATCGGGCTTAAATTGTGGGAAGCGTCCGGACACGTCCGTGCCTTCCTCCAGTCATGTCTCGTCGTTTAAGGAATTTCAGTCTATCCTTGCATAAATTTCGCATTATTGTTTAATATGGACTGTCGACATTGGCGGGACGGGGCAAGTGAACATGCCATGACAGACTTATAGTGCCTCAAATGCAGAGAAAGGAAAAGAACACCGATTGCCCTTCCCTTCCTAATGTAACCCTCCCCCCCTTTGGGCCACCAAGAGAAATGTGCACTGTAGAAGAACGCTTGCTTTCGTTAAAGATTTACAATTTATTAAAAAAAAATGAAATGAATTGAAAAATTCATGAACTCTTCGTCCAGAAATCAAGGATTCGACCCGCGTTTGAAAATGGAAGCTAATTAACATCCTGTTTATGTTCCTCAGAGTTGGATGACTGACAGATCGTCACTCCTTTCATTTTGGTGAAAGGATTGATGCATTACGCATTTGGGGAGCAAAATGGTTTGCTCTGTTAGGCAGAGGTTCTTCGGTTGGTTTGCCGCCCTCTGCACTTTCTTCGTTGTTGTCCAGATGATGCTGATTATCAAACAACAGAGAATTGACATCCTCGGCGGGCAAACCAACAAGGACGCCAGTCCCCTCGACCCTGCATCGGGCCAACATAACAAAACTGTTAGGAGAAACGAAGCCCAGAAGTCGGCCCACCGTGGCCGTGGAAAACTCCCTCAAATAGCTGATAAATTTCTCATTGACCCATCTCCCTCGAACAACAGTCTGTGGCCTTTTCACCGACGCTGGGACACCAACTGCTCAGCCATATTTGCAGGCGATACAAGAGTTATTCGACCGACCTATCACAGGTTGAAGGAGGAGCGTCAAGCGCATAATGGCTCGATTCTGGTGCCGGAGGACCACGAGGTGCAGACATGGACGCGCTACTGTGAATCATACAAGCGCCTGAGGCGATATCCAAGCAGCCCGCGCTCGAAGGAAGAGGCTGAATTCCCCGTTGCATACATCATCGTTGTTCATAAGGAGGCAGCCCAGGTCGAGCGACTCTTGAGGGCCATTTACCAACCTCAGAACCTCTACTGCATCCACCCTGACACAAAGTCGTCGTCGGACTTCCATCGGGCGATCAGGGGGCTGGTGGGCTGCTTCAAAAACGTCTTCGTCGCGTCAAAGACTGAAGATGTGCAGTTTGCCGGGTTCACCAGGCTCTTGGCCGATATCAACTGTATGAGAGACCTGACTGGTCCGAGAGGCGACGAGTATCGCTGGAATTACGTCATAAACCTATGCGGGCAGGATTTCCCACTGAAAACTAATCTGGAGATTGTTCGACAACTCAAGGCCTACAAAGGTCACAACGATATCACCGGCGTCCTAGCGCCACCACACTACATTGGCAGGACCTCTTACCATCATGTCATCGAAAACAAGCAAGTCAAAAGGACCAGCAGGGCCAAGGCGCCCGCACCTCATGCACTGAAAATCCACTTCGGGAATGCTTACTACGCAGCCACCAGGCACTTCGTTGACTATGTCCTGACTAGTCCAGCAGGTACCGACCTCTTGCGCTGGTCCAACGACACTTACAGCCCGGACGAACACTACTGGGTCACCTTGCAGCGTGCGCCCGGGACGCCGGGCGGCTACCCGCACCCGACGTGGGACGGGAACGTCAGGTTCATGAAGTGGTGGGGAGACGATATGAAATTGCCATGGTGCAGGGGCATGTACGTGCGGTTCCAGTGTATATTCGGCGTCGGCTACCTAGAGTACCTCGCCACGCAGCCTCACCTCTTTGCTAACAAATTCTACTACAGCTACGACCCGGTAGCGATACAGTGCTTAGAGGAGGCGCTCATCAGCAGGACTCAAAACCCTGCACTATCAGACAGGCTTCCTAATTTCCCCGTCACGAACCTCGTGTGGCAAAACCATACAGCCTTACCGTAACCAAGTGTATGATTTACCCCTCAACTAAGTAGGCACAAGGGCATCTTTTGAAATGTGTCAACTGGAAATGGACGGAGACGCTGGTTTGTAGAGATCCTGACACAATCTTAGGATGACGACATATTACGGGCAATATGGTGACATCATGAGATGTTTTAACGCAGGAATGGAAATGCCACATCCTGAGTTAATTTATCATGGGATGACGACAGCGTAAAAGTGATATGATGACATTATTTGTCAATGAGTGCCATGACAAACCACCTTGAAAACAGGTGGCCCGAGGTGCTAATGTTTTTCAATGCATTGTCCTGTTGCCATGGTATTAATTAGAATAATAAAACGTCATGATGTCTCTGGATGATGACATCCTGAGCTAATGGTTATTGTCATTACCAGGAGGATGTCATCATCCAAATTTTAGGATGTCGTCATCCCATGATAAATTATCTCAGGATGTCGACATCTTGCCTTTGTTATGTCGTCATCCCAAGAAAAATATGTCAAGATCTCAACAAGTCGGATGGCACTCTCAAAGTTCCGTAGTAAAAGGCTTGTTCCTTGGCAAGGATGGCATGCGTATAATGAGAGCCTGAATACTTCGTGGCAGTGTCGCCTCTGTGTGTACCTATGTCGCGCGAATTTGATCAAATATTTGAGCCGGCGAGAAACCTTTCGAATATTTGGTTGTTCGTATATAGTGTTTTGTTTCAGTTGGAACTAAATACTGATTTGTATGTTGGCCTACACCTAGGCCCATTTCATACATTTCAGTAAATATACATATAATGGTCTCACTTGGAGAAAAAAATATGGCTGCACCCCCTACATGTTCCTTAATTTGGAAAATTGAGATTGCCAATATTAAGGAGCTGTAATGATCAGTTCTGAAGAGGATTTTGAGAAGAAGGTACATGTATACTAGACTGTGGGTGATGAGGAGCGACGTAGTTGAAATTAATTGAAAAGCAAGGAAAAACTGTGAATTGAAGAAGTAGAGAATTATTTTGTTGTGTTTTCAAAAGCAGATGACACCAAACTAAAGCGATGTCTGTATAATCTGAGGTGCATCTTGTGAAATGGCCCAGTTGTCGTAAAGTTGGCCATGTTGTTATAGCTATGGCACTGGGAAGGCACGGGCCTGCAGCGCGACGCCATTCATTCCCGTGGTTTTAAACACCGGAGAGATGACCGACATGATGGCTTGGATGCAAGAAGGAGGGGTCCTTGCCACTGCCAATTCCCTCTCTGTGTGTCCCTTGTTTGTCAGGAACTATACTCGTCCATCTCTGGCAAGGCTCCCAGGTGGTCCTGTAAGGACCATGACGTGGCCGTTAACATGGGTGTCGCCCTGGTAGGGCGTACTCTCGAATTAAGCACCGCAGAAGCTTAGACGGGCTGACCTCTTGGCCTAAGGGACTTCATGTAAGACATAAGTTTTCTTTTCTAGTGACAAGTCTGTACGGTGCTTACCCATCTTCGCTACTTAAATTTAAATTGCTTTGATGCCCAGACACAGCTTTCTGTTATAAAGGCACAACCAAACAAACGATAATTGTATGATACGTCCGTCAGTAGCCTTGGTCAAGGCGTTTGTCATTCGTCGCAGCGCACGGCATGCAGTGCGCACCTGCCGCTTGAAATCAGGGCGAAGAGCGACCTCATGCGGTCTGAGAAATATGCAAATCAGCTGAACCAGGATCATGTTCAGCTGATTTGCATATTTATTAGACCGCGTGAGGTCGCTCTTCGCCGATTTCGGGCACTGATATCCATAATAAAATCGATTTATTAATTAAGAAACCTCAGGGATGTTGGCGTGCATGCGATTGGGCCCTGAACAGTGCTGATTTTACACTGTTTTCAATGGGGCTTGAATTAGTGGACTGGACCATTATAGAGATCATGGAATCCACTCGCGGCCATTTTACCGAGCCGAATACAAAGCTTTCCTGGCAATTAAAATGCCCGCCTTAGTTCTTCCTGACGTCAATAGAAGGGAGCAACCCACGCTTTTGTATTCGACTCGGTAAAATGGCTGCTGGTTGATTTCTTTTTCATACAAAGGCGTTGCAAGTCCATTTTTTTTTTATATACGTCCGTAGCAGAACTCCAGAACACATTGGGTTTCTGTTTTACGGAAGCGTATTGCTGCCAACGCGAAAAAATAATAATAATAATCTACATATATGTCTTTTAAACGAGATAACTATGCCATTTGAACGAATCAACAATTTGTTTAAATAAAACAATAAGTCGTAAAAAATAGAAATTAAGTCGTTTAAACGAGATAAAATGATTTTTGGAGTTGGCAGCATAACGCGTCTGTGCTGTTTTCCTGCATGTAGGCGGTGGACTCACCTCTGCTTCTGAAAAGGGGCAGGTGCTATGTAGATAGCTTTTTAGAACTAGCTGGATAAAAACATGCAAAAGTCGTAGGCACTCATCGGTTGAAGCCACTGAAACGTCAGAAATGACAGGATATCCAACAGAGGGCGCAAGTTAACTAAAAAAAATTATGATCGCAGGTTATTAAAAAAACTAGGGCGTGTGATTAGCTGCGTGGTCATGGTGGTACGGAAATTTGGGTAATTTTGTCAGTTTGCGTTACCGTTTGAAAAATCTTTTTCACGCTACCAGGTTAATCAACAAGTGCATCTGGTAAGTTTTGCCGTATTTTAAGGCAATAATTTTGCTTTGCTGGGTATTTACATGTGGACTGTGCTTTGGTTACTGAAATTGCCGTGATTACGTTGCATGCAGAAACACTTCTCTGACGGAATTGAATTTAATTTGCTTATTCGATGACCAAAGTTCACCGTTGTGACTGTATCCATATATGTATGACCGTGAATCATGCTTGTGTCGTGGTGATGGCATTGCTATTCATTGTACATTTCATATCAGATGTTACTTCCAGAACTGTAACTTAGGTTTCTACAAACCTTGTTGTAGGTAGCTAGCTGTGTACGAACTCCCATAAACACATTCTGGTTGTTTTGATTGTGCCAACTAAGTTCCATCGTCTGATCATAACTATTCGTGCAACCAAATTTCATACATGCCTTCTTGGTTATGTTGGCACAGTCAGATGTCAGACGGGGAGGTTTATTCACCTTGTATCCTCATTAAAATGGTGAAATTCTTGAGCATTTTGCCCATCCACACTACAGAAAATCAGCAGCATCACCTGATCAGTGATGAGCATGTACTCTCAATAACTGTCAGCTGTGTGGTAGCTTGACCAATCGTAACACAGCTCCTAATGTTTTCCTGACACCTACAGATGAAAGCTGCACTGTTATTGGCCCAATTTGTTTCCATTCCAATGACCAATCATAGCTCAGCTTTCATTTGCATGCGGTCAGGAAAGCAAAAGGAAAAGATAGGAGCTGTGTTGCAACTGGTCAAGCTATTACACATCAGACAGTTGTTGAGAGTACATGCTCAGTGATGTTGCTGATTTTCTGTCGCATGGATGGCCAAAATACTCAAGAATTTCATCATTTTAAAGAGGATATAAGGTGAATAAACCTCCCCGTCCGACATCTAACTTCATCAAGATGGCATGTATGAAATTTGGTTGCACAAATAGCTGTGAAGGCAGAGTAAGTTGGCCCAATCAAAACACCCAAAATGTGTTTATGCAAGTTTGCACATGGCTATCTATAAGGTTTATATAAACCTTACAGTTCTGAAAGTAATTGCTTTGTAGGCTTATTTACTGAACATTACAAACGATTGTGATCAGTTGATATTTTTGCCATGTTTGTGCAAACACGGAGGTTGAATGTAGTACCTTACAATTATTCACAACAACTTCAATTGTGATTTCTTTTAGGAGTCGTACATTGCGACATCGAAGACAGGCTTCCAGTGGAAATTTTCAAGTAGCAGAGGTCACTGCAAAAACCACCCTCATATGAAGGGAATTCCATAACACGCGGGTCAGGGAAAAAATATTTGCTTGGTGAAGTTCTTTCGGAGATTCCGACACGCACGTTGGTGTGACGCGCGTGCTTGGGTAGGTGCCAGGGCCTGCCGAGATGTCTGGCTGCTTAGACCGTGTTGAGTGCCACTTGCCAGAATGGTGTGAGCTCGGGGAGAAGCGGAATTTCATTGCCTCCGTCGCCGCCGGCATCCTGGTGAGTCGGGGAAGGGAAACGACTGGCTCTTGACTCCACCCATCATTATCCCTGAGTTGTGGCAAAGAGAGACTTCCTTTTTTTTGAGGCAAAAGTAGGAACATGTGTTGCCTTACGTCAAGCATTTTTGGTCCAAAATAAGGCAAGCCCTATAGATGAGGTCAGGATGGAGAATTTTGGGGCTAAATTCCCCTTCACATATCCAGGTCCCACCCCAAAAACTGCCCCTGCCATGCGTTACTCGTTTGTAAATCCATCACCAGCGGGGGCCAATTTCATAGAGCTGCTTAAGCACAAAATTTGCCTAAGCACAAAAAAACTTGCTTAAAAAACCAAAGGTTACCAGCTCAAAATCTATGTGATTGTCATGCTAACCAAAAGACTGATGAATACCATTCCAAAACAATATACATCCCAAAGAGTTTTGGCTGGTAACCTGATTTGTCAAGCGAGGTTTTTTCACACTTAAGCAACTTTTGTGCATTAACCCTCCTTTGGTTTTACAGCACAAATGCCCACAGTCACTGGTGAGCATGTGTTTTCT